GGGCCACGCGCATAGCCACCGCATAGCCACCGCATAGCCACGCACATAGCCACCGCATAGCCAGTGCATAGCCACCGCATAGCCACCGCATATCCACCGCATAGACACCGGATAGCCAGCGCATAGCCACGCACATAGCTACCGCATAGCCACGCGCATAGCCACCGCATAGCCACGCGCAAAGCCAGCGCATAGCCACCGCGGCCCGGCTGCTGTTAGGGTCCAGAGCAGGGGTCGGTGGACTGTGGTTTCGAGGTTCAGGGTTCGAGTCGAGGGTTTGGTGGGTCTCGGGCAGGGGTCGGCAGCCTGCGGCTCTTGAATGACTGTTTCGTGATGGTATTTTTTTATGAAGGACCGGCTCGCATTCACAACGCAATGCGGCTCCTGAAATATTAATGTTTTTTTACAGAATTCCAAGTAAAATTATTCTTGTTTTGGTTGCTGACCCTTGTTCTAGAGTTAGTTACGTTAAAGGTTAGAGGTAAAGGGTTACTTTACTTTCCGGATTATAAGACGCACTTCTCCATGTGATCAGGGTAGCGTCTAATAATATGGGGTGTCCGTGCGTTGTGAATGATACCAAATTAGTCAAATGTTTACTTTGTATAGCAACTCTGGGGTCTGATCATCGTGATAATCTTGTGAATGTGGGCAGTCGGGCCTTCGGGATGTACGGACGCGTGTCCTCGCGCTCCAGAGAGAGACAGGACACGGGAGGCTCGAAAGAGAAACATCGAACTCTATTTATTACTCTGCACTTCAGCGGCCTCACGCCGCCTGTCCGCTGACTCTCCGCTCCAGGGGTTTAAATTAGGGGGTCCCGCCCCCCTTTAGCCCCCCTGCGCGGGGGAGGGGGGGACGTAACATTTTCAAGTAACAGTTTCGCTATACGTATTGCTATACACACGTGACATACACGCGCATACACGTGCGGCTGTACGTACACGCAGAGAGACATGGGTACATACACAGAGACGTGAGGACATACATGGGCACAGTACATACGGCGTGGGTGCATACAGACATGGGAACATACAGACATGGGAACATACAGACATGGGTACATACAGATATGGGTGCATACACTCATCAACATGGGAATATACACAGACTTGGCGCGCACACTGGATTGTTAGATGCACACAAACACCAGTACCAATACCCGCGCCATTCGCCACTTAGTGACAGTGATGTCACCACGGCGCCTGTGGCAGGCTAGATGCACTTAGATGACACGTGAAGTGTCGAAGGCTCGCTGGCAGGTCTCGGGACAGACCCAGGTGCCATAGGTTGGCTGACTGAGATGACTGGTAGATAGATGTACCAGATTTGCCCCTACTGTGCCAACTTGCTCTATTTTAGCCGCCGTTGTTGTGAGCGTCGCTCCTCTGCCCTCCGTTGTTGCTGGAGGGCGACTGCCTCCAACTACCCAGTAGCGTCCTTCACGAGCCTCCTCCATCGAGGCCGATCTTGACACCGCTGGTACCAGTCGTCAGCAAGTCCACTCAGCTCCACATCCTCCCGTGTCGCATCAGTCCATCTCTTCTCCAGCCCGTGTCGTGCCCGTTTAGCCCCCTCTATGCTTTCAAACAGAAGCTGCTTGGGCATGCGGTGGCTGGTCATGCGGGCTACATGACCCAACACAGGGGTACATACACACACATTGGTGCAAATAGGCGTCAGCACACAGATATTCATACTTACACAGAGGTATTAACAGACGTTTGCAGGTCAACACATCATTACATCGGTAAAGAGGCACACACAGTTGGCGCGCTGCATTACTAATCCGGCCACCTGAGTTCGCATCCCGGCCACGGATAACATGAGTGGCGAGTCATAATCCGAACCGGTCGTGCCCCGCTCCGCTCCCCGCTTCACCAACCCGCATCTACCAGCGTGGTGAGGTATGGTCACACAACCCATATGACCAACATGGCGTGGGGAGGCCTTCATCCAGCAGTGAATTCTTAAAGTACTATAGTCGTACATTGATACACTCACACACACATACATCGGTACATCCTCCGACTGGTACACACACACACGTCGGTTGACACACACGCACACAAAGACCAAAAAGACAGACACACATAAGACAGACACACACAAGACAGACGCACACAGACTCAAGCAGGGGCACATGCATACACAGAACCCCATGCGCATAAATAAACAGATGGAGATTGAGGCAATTCAATTCTAGCGAAGGGGGCGGGGGGGGAGCAGCCCCCCGGTATTTTGCAACGACTCCATTCATATAAGTGCAGTACAAATGAAGCAATGGGGGTGGGGGGGGGGGTGTAAGGGATGAAGGGAGGTGGGGGGCATGACCCCCATCACCTAGATAACAATATCACACCGCTCCCCCGCCCCCACCTCTTCATCATACTGCTCCTCTCACATTCGCAATATTCTCTGCATCCTGTCCGGACACATGGCTGACATTTCCGTTGATCAGCTATCGGGAGAGACAAGTCCCCTCGCCGTCCCTGTGTGCCCAGGAGCGTGCGCGTGACCTCCTCTTATGCCGAGATGGATGTCTCGACATTCCGCTGCACCGCCGAGATGAAAGGTCAGCGGGCACTGAAGCCGACGGGGAAATCAGATTACGGGGGGGGGGGGGCAGCAGGGAGCCGGGAGATGATGGAGTGGAGAGTGGGGGTGGGGGGCAGGAATTAGTGAGCCCCCCGCCCCGCCTCGACTCCCCTTCACACCAGCCACCCACCAATTTTCGTTGCTTTGCGGAGCGGTATTGTGCCCAGTCACAACCAAAACATGTTTTTGTTCTATCTACTGAACAATAATACGCTGTATTTACCCACGAGAGTCCCGTGACTCCGTTGTTTTCAAGAGGGTCCTGCTATATCGGGATGTTTGGCCAATTCCGTTATTGACGAGAGTTTGAATTCTCAGTGTGGGGGATGAAACGGAGAGAACCCGGAGACAGCCAGCCCAAGCGCGTAGCGACGATGTGACAGCCAAAACACTCCATACAGATGGGTTCATGAACCCACGTGGTGTGGCTGCCACCTTCTGGTCAACAATCTCGCAGCCCAACGTAGTATGGGAGTTTCACAAATCTCCGAGTGATCCACCAACCCTTGCCATCCAAAGCACCACCACAGCTCGGCGTTGATTGATCGTCATGGCCCACGTTCTGGTGCAGGGTGCGAACCGTTTGCATATGTGCCGTCGATTACGGCAGTTCCTCGAGCTACGAGCGACTTGCTTGGAGAGGCACTCATCTAGCAGTGGATAAATCACGACTGACGGTGATGGCGGTGCTCAAATGGCACCGCTTTTCTTTGGAGCCGAGTCTCGCTCGACCCATTGCGCCCAGGGCGCTTGAATGATCTCCCCCCCCCCAACACGTCCGCATTGATCTCCGCAACACAAATCCGCTCGTATATTCAATAACCAAATTATATACGCTGACAGCAGTGGCGCGGCGGTTAGCACACTGCACTTCGCATCCAGCCGCACGGGTTCGACTCCGGACCGTGGCCAACATTGGTGAGGGGCGAACGGGTGAGATCTGACGTAGTCTTGCGCTCCGCTTCTCCAACCTTAACCAAAAATACGCACCGCTGTCCAATGCGGTGAAGGATGGCCATCCAGCAGTGGATTGACAAAGGGGCCGCCTGTGAATGGTCCTCAATTGGCCACGGTTCCTGAGTTTCGTCGCCCCGCCCCCACCCCGTGTGCACGTGGGTCGTGTGCACGTGGGTCGTGTGCACGTGGGTCGTGTGCACGTGGGTCGTGTGCACGTGGGTCGTGTGCACGTGGGTCGTGTGCACGTGGGTCGTGTGCACGTGGGTCGTGTGCACGTGGGTCGTGTGCACGTGGGTCGTGTGCACGTGGGTCGTGTGCACGTGGGTCGTGTGCACGTGGGTCGTGTGCACGTGGGTCGTGTGCACGTGGGTCGTGTGCACGTGGGTCGTGGATTGAGTCGCCCACTGACCATGCTCACGGAACCCAGGGCAGGGAAGTGGCTCCAACGAACCAAGAGCGTCACGAGCGGCCAAGACGGCAATAAATATAATAATAACAACAACACGCAACCATAGTAATAATACAACTATTAAAAAACACATAGTAGTAGGAGGAATAATGCTAGTTTATAAATACTACGCATCATGCTGTCTTAGCTACACTAGATTCACATGCAAAGAGATTAATCTCAGTCGGAGCTGTCCAGGGCTGAACTTCAGAAGATATTAATTGCCCAGGGGGGGGTTTGGGTTGGTGGGGTGGGGTCCGGGAGTTGGGGGACCCTGGCTGTATTCCATGAGATTAAGCCCTGCGTGCGTGTAAACCAGTCAGCTTAAGTGGGGGAGGAGGAGGATCGCGCCCTCGGGATGGCTCCACGATTTGTGGCCCACGGAGAGTCCATCTGCATCGGCTGCCCCTCTGCGTGTGGTGGTCAGCTGCACAAAGACAACTCAAGTGAAGATCAACCCCAACTTTCTGGAGTGAGTTCCCCACCAAATTCATATTTTCACTTCAGCTGTCTGACGCGGCCGACCACAACCGCAACTTAACGCAATGGGTAGCTTCACTGTGCCGAGCGCCATCGCGGAGAGAGAAATGTTAATTTGAACCTGTAGCTGTGAGCTGTGTGACGGTCGGAAAGCGGCCCGTTGAAGGTAATATCACAGAACCGCTACCGAGGCCCGTTCGGCTGCCTCTGATCCACAAACTCGGCGGCGGTGCCCCCCTCTCACTGACGACAGTGGCGCCAGTGACCATCGCACGGAGACCCAAACTGAAATGCGAATTTCTCAGAGCTGGAGAAATGTGCTCCGAATGTTCACGCGGTGGCTTTTCGGGAAAAGTGTCCCCGTGAAACCCTATCTGTCCTGCAGCCCACGCTCACTTGCACACGCGCACACTCGCGCAAACTCGCACACACCCGCACACACGCAAAGATCAAAATCCCCCGTATAGCCTTAACAAACTATTGGGGGCAAATGCTGTTAGCGAGCACCTATCAAGTCCGGCACTGCACACGAGGTTGAGTGGGTGGCCAGCACCACACCCGGCCGTCTTTGTCTCCCCAATACTAAGGTTTACACACTGCACCAGGTTACTCAGTTAAAGCTGTGTCGACCTAGGAGAAGGTTAAAATTATCTGCCACCGTTATTGGCCGCGAGTGGGAATTGAACTCGGGCCGCCGGGGTTCATTGCGCAGTGCGCTAACCACCGAGCACGCTCTCACGCTCCCACTCGCTCGCTCGCTCGCGCACAGACTCACGCTCGCTGCCGTTGTGCCCTCCGCAGAAACACGGCGGCGGAGGAATAGGAACCGTTGTGAAGAGCTTCCGCTCGGCCACGCGGTGGTCGTGCGGCGTGCCGCCGTCGACCCGCGCCGTCCCACCGACGGGCGGCCTCCGGGCCATCGACTCGCCGCACCGGAGGAGCCGGCTCAACCGCGGGGGGCACCGCCAACCACTCGTCCCCGAGTCTGAAATGTGCCCTCTGTTATTAAAGCCGATGCGGATGAACAAGAGGTCTAATGCACACGCTCGCCCAATGTTATACTGGGGCAGTGGGGGGAGGGGGGCTGGCAGTGGGGGTGTAGCGACGGACGCAGTAACAGCAGCGATTCCCTCCTGCACCACGATAATACTTCATGCGGCTAGGAATTGGCTGTTGTTATAGTTAGCCGAGTTTCGTGGGTTGTGGTTGGTTGGGGGAAGGGGGGGGGGCTCTAGCCCCCCACAACTCACGCTAACAAACAAAGCTTAGTGTCGGTCTGCGCCCGGGGGAGCGGGTGGTGGGATTGGGGGGCCCCGGGCCCCCCGGGATTGTCGAGAGCCATGTGGCCGCTGGCCGAGTCGTCGCCGTCACTGTCGCTCATCTCCAGGAGATTCTTCTCCTCGGCCGCGCTGCCCCACTCCCTCTGCTCGGGGATCTGGCTCACGCGGAACCTGGGGCGGGAACGGGGGGAGCGTGGAGCGGTGAACGCGTGGCATGCACACCGTCTACGTACAAACACGCAGTCACACTGCACCACACACTGCAACCCACACACACGCTACACAGACAACCCGCTATCGAAAGCCGGCACAGCTGATGTTGATTCCACATCGCACCAGATACTCATTTGAGGCCAAGCCGACCTAGGGGAGGCTCAGAACCGGTTCAGATTTCCGTCACTGTCGTTGGCCGTAGAGCAGTGCGCTGACCACGACACTGCCGCTCCCCACTCGCACACACAATTATACAGGACCGCACAGACACTTGAAGCGGCCTCAATCACATCATTTAGCCACATACACACACACATGCTCTGATCACGCAGCAGCAGACATACTACCCATACAATGACACACACACACTCTGTATATTCACACACACGGCCCCTAGTATTACACGTCATCACATACACTACACTAAAACCCCACCACCTGAGTTCCATTCGGCTCCTGGCAAATGATACCTGAACAAGTCCCCCCCCTCTCGCCCCCCCCCTCTCGCCCCCCCCCTCTCGCCCCCCCCCCTCTCGCCCCCCCCCCTCTCGCCCCCCCCCCTCTCGCCCCCCCCCTCTCGCCCCCCCCCTCTCGCCCCCCCCGCCCCCCCCCTCGCCCCCCCTCTCGCCCCCCCCCGCCCCCCCCCCCCTCGCCCCCCCTCTCGCCCCCCCCTCTCGCCCCCCCTCTCGCCCCCCCCTCTCGCCCCCCCTCTCGCCCCCCCTCTCGCCCCCCCCTCTCGCCCCCCCCCCTCTCGCCCCCCCTCTCGCCCCCCACCTCCCTCCCCCTCCCATCCCTGTCCCCCCATTCCCCTCTCTTTCTCTGACGCGACCCCCCCCCCCACCCCCTCACCCCCCCCCACCCCCCCGTCCCCCGTCCCCCGTCCCCACCTGCCGATGGCCTGACTCGCCGCGTCTGCAGGGCGCCCCTGGCGGCTGGGCGTCGCCCTCGCGGGGCGAGCGCCCCCACCGATTGGGGGGCAGGGGGTCCAGGGCAGCTCGGCCCAGAGCGCGTGGCGGCAGCGCGTGCAGGCGCAGCGCGAGTGGGAGGCGTGCACCGTGTGGGCGTGCAGCCACCCCGGGGCTGGCGCCTGCAGCCAGCCCGGGGGAGGCGCCCGCTGCTGCTGCTGCTGCTGGTGGTGATGATGCGGAGGGGGAGAGTGCACGCGGGGCAGCTGGCAGTGCTGCGGAGTCTCGGCCGGTGAGCAGAAGCTGCGTGGTTGGGGGGGGGGAGGTGGGGGTAGGGGGAATAGGGGGGCCACGATGTAATTAGCCAATCAAATAAGCAGGTGGAGGTTCTAACAATGGGTTAACTATGCGGTGGCTGTATCGATCAATCAGGGCGCAGAGCCGTTTATCGCTTAACAAGAGGCGCACAGAGAGGTGGGTTTGCCAGGACAAAGTCACGGCTTCGGCGATTAGTGTGTGCGTGCGCGCAATCAATTTAGTGGTGCGACACGCACCGGTGAGATGAGAGAGACACGTGGGTGAGATGATTGACAGGTATATGTGAGATGATTGACAGTTGCAGGTCCCTACCCGCTCGCCATGCTGTCCGTAGTCTCCAGTCGCCCACTTTCCATGGCCAAGGCTTGCAGAGCCTCCACGTTTCCTGAATAATAACAACAATAATAATCAAAATAATAACAATTATAACAACAATGTACAATAATAACAATGCAATACAAATTGTTGCTATTAATCCGTGCCAGCCCCTACTGTACTTCACGACTTAATGTGTTACTTTTTTATTGCGATAATTAACCAAAGAAAGCCTCGCCGAGTCTCAAGACTATTTTTCAAGAGGGTCCTGCCAAGTTTGTTTTGCAGTAGACGGTCGCAATGTTGCGATGGTGCAATGCATAGTTTGCAGCTGAAGTTCAGCACTGGCCAACGCCAGGTTTGGCCTATACCAGCTATACTTTCGCCACGCGGTGTCTCATCAGCAGAGTCGGGCTTGCTTATGAGAAACCGAACGTCAAAACCGGTGCGGAGAGTTTGCTCGTATTAAACCGATGCTGCCGAGACAAAAGTGCACTTCCAAGAGGCAGCGTGAGCCAATGGGATGTGTCAAACAAATACACAAACCACGTCTCTGCATTCGACCTCGGTCTCTCACCGTTCTTGTGCAGAAAGTATTTCACCAGCTGCCCAATCGTGTCCTCGTTCCCCGCGTAGTACTGGGCAGTCGGCAGAAGCAAGCTCGCACCTGGGAAAGCATCATCAGCACCATCAGTGTCAGCATCATCAGCACCATCAGTGTCAGCATCATCAGCACCATCAGTGTCAGCATCATCAGCGGTAGCGTAGTAAAGACATCAGCAGTGGGGAAGTAACGACATCAGCAGTGGGGTAGTAACGACATCAGTAGTGGCAGTAGTAACGACATCAGCAGTGGGGTAGTAACGACATCAGCAGTGGCAGTAGTAACGACATCAGTAGTGGGGTAGTAACGACATCAGTAGTGGGGTAGTAACGACATCAGTAGTGGCAGTGGTAACGACATCAGTAGTGGCGTAGTAACGACATCAGTAGTGGCAGTAGTAACGACATCAGTAGTGGCAGTAGTAACGACATCAGTAGTGGGGTAGTTACGACATCAGTAGTGGGGTAGTAACGACATCAGTAGTGGCAGTAGTAACGACATCAGTAGTGGGGTAGTAACGACATCAGTAGTGGGGTAGTAACGACATCAGTAGTGGGGTAGTAACGACATCAGTAGTGGGGTAGTAACGACATCAGTAGTGGCAGTAGTAACGACATCAGTAGTGGGGTAGTAACGACATCAGTAGTGGCAGTAGTAACGACATCAGTAGTGGCAGTAGTAACGACATCAGTAGTGGGGTAGTAACGACATCAGTAGTGGCAGTAGTAACGACATCAGTAGTGGCAGTAGTAACGACATCAGTAGTGGCAGTAGTAACGACATCAGTAGTGGCAGTAGTAACGACATCAGTAGTGGGGTAGTAACGACATCAGTAGTGGGGTAGTAACGACATCAGTAGTGGCAGTGGTAACGACATCAGTAGTGGGGTAGTAACGACATCAGTAGTGGCAGTAGTAACGACATCAGTAGTGGCAGTAGTAACGACATCAGTAGTGGGGTAGTAACGACATCAGTAGTGGGGTAGTAACGACATCAGTAGTGGCAGTGGTAACGACATCAGTAGTGGGGTAGTAACGACATCAGTAGTGGCAGTAGTAACGACATCAGTAGTGGCAGTAGTAACGACATCAGCGGTAGGGTAGTAACGACATCAGTAGTGGCAGTGGTAACGACATCAGTAGTGGGGTAGTAACGACATCAGTAGTGGCAGTAGTAACGACACCAGTAGTGGAAGTAGTAACGATATCAACAGTGGGGTAGTAACGACATCAGTAGTGGGGTAGTAACGACATCAGTAGTGGGGTAGTAACGACATCAGCAGTGGCAGTAGTAACGACATCAGTAGTGGGGTAGTAACGACATCAGTAGTAGCAGTAGTAACGACATCAGTAGTGGGGTAGTAACGACATCAGCAGTGGCAGTAGTAACGACATCAGTAGTGGGGTAGTAACGACATCAGTAGTGGGGTAGTAACGACATCAGTAGTGGCAGTAGTAACGACATCAGTAGTGGCAGTGGTAACGACATCAGCGGTAGGGTAGTAACGACATCAGTAGTGGGGTAGTAACGACATCAGTAGTGGGGTAGTAACGACATCAGTAGTGGGGTAGTAACGACATCAGTAGTGGCGGTAGTAACGACATCAGTAGTGGCAGTAGTAACGACATCAGTAGTGGCAGTAGTAACGACATCAGTAGTGGGGTAGTAACGACATCAGTAGTGGGGTAGTAACGACATCAGTAGTGGCAGTAGTAACGACATCAGTAGTGGCAGTAGTAACGACATCAGTAGTGGCAGTAGTAACGACATCAGTAGTGGGGTAGTAACGACATCAGTAGTGGCAGTAGTAACGACATCAGTAGTGGGGTAGTAACGACATCAGTAGTGGCAGTAGTAACGACATCAGTAGTGGCAGTAGTAACGACATCAGTAGTGGCAGTGGTAACGACATCAGTAGTGGGGTAGTAACGACATCAGTAGTGGGGTAGTAACGACATCAGTAGTGGCAGTGGTAACGACATCAGTAGTGGGGTAGTAACGACATCAGTAGTGGCAGTGGTAACGACATCAGTAGTGGGGTAGTAACGACATCAGTAGTGGCAGTGGTAACGACATTATCAGCTCGGGGTGCAACGATCGGGCGGGTGGGGCCCCAACATTTGATTTGTCTCGCACGGTCGCACCTTGGCTATGATGTATCGCGGCTCCTCTTGCCTAATCACATCGTTACAGAAGTGTTGTTGTTGTTGTTGTTCTCTTACACTGTTGTTGTTCTCTTACACTGTTGTTGAAAACAAAGCTCATGGTGGTTGTCATGGGGGCCCCAACTTGTAGCTTTGGCCACCAAGGAGGGCCAAGGCACCCCCTGCCTCCAAGCTCGTTACGGTACTGATCGTCAGCATCAGCAGCAACAGTGGCATCATCATATGATTACCAGCAGCAGCACCACCACCATCAGCAGCATCGATCTCATCATCAATAACAGCAGCAGGATCGACATGATCAAGGTGCAACCCAGGAGAGTTGCTGGCCACTCAGCCCCTCATGATCTGTGGCAGTCTGCATCAAAGGTGCTGGCCAACAGCACTTACCGCTACAATCTTTGTAGCATCTGAACATGTCGTGGGCCTCCCCTAGGTCAGATCAAAATTAGTACCGTATTTTACATGCGGAGCGTTAACAACAGCACTGGGGAGACAAAGGCGGCCGGGTATGGCTCACCACCCCAAGGTGTGTTACAATGTTGTAGCATTTTGGTTTAAAGCTTTCGTGACTGCAGGGATGCATATTCTTGGTTCTTTCGGTAAAGTCACGTAGAAGGGAAACAATTAAATAATAAAAATATAAAACAAAACCACAGCAAGAACATTTTCTTGCTGTGGTTTTCACACCCGATGATGATTGTGTTGCAGTCGAAACGTCGTGATAATTGTATTGTTTTATATTTTTATTATTTCATTGTTTCCCTTCTACGTGGTGACTTTACCGAAAGAACCAAGAATAATGTTGTACCATTTACGGGACGGACCTCTTGGTTGCTCGAGCAAAGTGTCTGCAGTTAAAGATTGTGACCGCGAGGGGTCTCGCGACACACGCCTGATGAGCGATGCGAGCATAGCCACTGGGAAGGTCGGCTTGATGGAGAGAGACCCCCAGTGGCTTCATTACATTCGGGGTCTTTGACCCAACAATGAACGTTTGATAAATCCGCTGACATCCCACCAGCAGAAATAAAGTCCGAGTCGAGTTCCCCCTGTAGCCTTCACAGACTGTTGGGGCAAGGGCTGCTAGCGAGTAGCACCTATGGTGACCAGAGAGTCAGTCATACGTGGGTATGGCCAGGACCACGCCCGACCCCCTTTGTCTCCCTCGTGCTCAAGTTGGATACACATCGCACCAGGCACTCATTTAAGGTTGATTCGACATCGAGGAGGCGCAGCATGACCGGTCCATGTGTGTTCACCCTAGCCGGGAATCGAACCCAGATGTATTTCTATGGCTGTTGTTGTTACGTTGGCCGATTAACAACGTCCCTCTTTCTGTGACTGCACACAAAGCGGACGCGTGAGGGCCGCCCACGTGCGGAGGCTGTGGATGCCGTGCGATGCTGCGTGGGCAGGAAGGAAGCTGCGGGGTCAGGGTCCGGTCGTCTCAAACACCCGGAGAGGAATCATGTCCCCTCGCGACGCGCAGCGGTGGGATTCATTCAATGCGGTGGGGGGTAGGTGGGGGGGGGGGGGGTGCTGTGGGGGGGGCGGGGGTCTATCGTCCGACACCCCCCCCCCCCCACTTCGTGAGACCCCGCGAAATTGATCACTATTGATCGTTCCTGTATTCCGAATCGATGTTGATCAGTAATCACGTGGTGTTGCTGCTTCTGCTGCGTTGGCAGTGGTGCCAATTGAACAATTCGACACGTTCGTCATCACGGAGTGCGACGGATCCACTCACGCACTCACCTACTACACTTTAATAAACGTGTGAACACATATTTACTCCACCTCTGAGAGTGCTGTTTGTTGCCAGCCGCTCAGCGTTTAGTTCATTAGAACCTTTGCCAAAGAACTCCCCGAGTCCCCCACTGCCCTCCCACAGCTGTTCACAAAACGGGGGCCCCACCCACCTCCACCATCCCCCATCCTCCCCCCTCTCCCGCGAATTCCCATCGCTCCCCTTCCCACTGTTCACACAACACAGACTCCCCCCCCCCCCCGCCCCCACCCACTCATCTTCACTGCATTACATTCCACATTCCCGTGTCGAGGACGAGTCTCTCCAGAGGCTCGGCTAATTCCTCCGTGGTGGCCCAAACTGCGCTCACCCCACGTGGGCCTCTCACCTTCCTTACAGTCGGCGCCCGCGAGCCCCGAGCCACCTCCGCCTCCTCCTCCGCCTCCACCGCCGCCTACGCTCTCCGTGGCGCCGCGGGCCCTGCGCGCCTTGAGCGTGTGGCACACGAGGACCCCGAGCAGCCCCGTGAGCCCAAACACCGGCACCAGCACGAAGAAGCCGAAGTCCGGCAGGGGTCGCGGGCTCCCCTCCACCACCGCGACGCTCCCCGACGTCTCGGGGGTCGGGAAGGCCCGCGGGGTCGCCGTGGCCGCGCGGACGTCGGGGCCCGGGGCCCGTGGGGCCGGGGACTCGGTGCCCACTGTGCTGGCTGACCCGCCGGTCGTGTCATCTTCCTCTTGCTGCTGCTGCTGCTGGTCATGATGATGGTCATGATGATGACGATCATCACCATGAGTCTGCTGTTGCCGTTCCCCACTGGCCTTGCGTGGTGCCTCCTCGGGGTCGTCCTGGAGCCCTGGCCGCATCCCCCCGCGAGCCCCCGTCCGTGCGACCGTCTCTGTCGATGGGGCAGTGATTATTGTTGGTGATGTCGTGGTCCCTCCTGCGTGGCAGGGAAGGGCAGGGAAGGGCAGGGAAGGAAGTCGGATGAGGGCAGTGCAAGGGACCATAAAAAGACCAGAAACTCGCACGTGAGAATTCCGTTGAATGGCAGGCTGAGGCTGGAACCCAGATTCGGAATCAGAACCCAGATTCGATCTCAGGATCTCAGCAGTGCCGGTTCAGCATCTCAGCGATGCACCACTCCGCTACTCCTCCTGGCGCAATCGTCTGGGTCAACCAACTCGATGTAAAATCACAGCTGTTGTTCTCCATTAACACCTCTTGACCGTTGTGATCCCTCTGGCCCACGGGACACCCTGCCGCGAGCTGTACTTCCTCGAGCACCTGTGCATGTCACAGTCCCCATTGTGTGTGTGAAGCCCTTTCTCTCTGTGGACCGCAATTAACTCCGGCTCACGCCACGTGGCTCTCAGGGTAGTAATTACCCCCCCCGCCCCGCCCCTCATCTCCCGTGCGTGTCAAGAAGCGGCGCTCCCCGTGGGGCGCGCCACGGCTCGTGCTGAGCGCTCGCACGACAGCCGGAGCCTACGAGAAAATAATAGCAACAAAAACAACAACAACAACAGCAGTGGCCACAAGAACAACAACAGTGGCGACAACAATACTCGTACTCCTAATAATGATGACGATGACCAACCGCGGACTGTTCGCGCTGACAGCAGCAGCAAACCCGATTCAGGCTGTCGCAGGCACGTCGATGGCATTGAGTGATGACGCAGCTCCCAGCAGCCAGCACATTGCACCGCACCCTGCACGGCGCCCAGCACCGCACCCTGCACTGGGTTGGGCACGCGGAGTTCTCGTGAGGTCGGCGGCTCACCGGCACTGCTTTAAGCGTTGCCCGACCCTGCTGACGAGACATTGGCTGTCGAGTACCGGTTCATACTTTTGCCTGTGATTAATCAACGCAGCTGAAAGTGCGCACTCCCAGAAGGCCGTGGGGCTGATGGGTTGCGTAGGAAAGACTTTTATTTAGTTCATGCGACGTAATACTTATTTTGATTAACGAGTGAATCATAGTCACATTCCAGTTCCTACGCTTGCGGCATTTGGAGGTGCCGTGTATTGTGTCCAGGATGTGGAATGAGACATCGCAGGACCTTGGTGGTGGGGAGGGAAGGAGGTGGAGGGGGGGGCACGTGGCCTTCATGCAGCAGTGGATGGGCGATGGATGATTATGATTGCGGTGGTCTTGATGATGATGATGATGACGACCACGACGTATTAAACATCATAAAGCCTGACTCACTGATGACTCACCGTTTATGGTGATAATGCGAGGATGGCAGCGCCATGATGATGATGACGACGTGAATGCGATGATGATGACGATGAATAATTGAAAACTCCAAAGTGATGACTGACGAAGGCGCGATAAAAACTGACGGCGATTGATGATGTGACGACGAAGTGACGATGGTGGTGATGATGTAATTGTGAAGGTGATGTGACGGAAGCGTGATGACTAGGTGACGATGAGATGATGAAGCGACAACGACGATGATGATGGCTGTGTGATGAGGGGGCATTCTCGAGGTGGCTGTGCTCTGCTCGTGACGCATTCGCCTGGCGCCACGGGGAGGGGCGGGTCGGGGGGTTGTGAATTATTGAGCGGCGCGGACTCAGAGCGGGCGGCTTGACGCTGCCTGCTCACGTGACTTAGCAAGCCATCATCATCATCGTTGTCGTTTTAAGAGCTCATCGTCAACATTATTCCCGCACCTCCGATTGGCTACGTACTGTGCGAAAGAAATTCAACGTACATACATCCGAGGAGCCCAAAACCATTATCATCATGCATCGTCAGGCATCATGACCCATTATCATTAGCATTATCAATTAGTCTATCATCATCATGAATCTTCGGTCATCATAATCACCGTGTGCGGCTATTTGTCAATCCCAATCCACTGCTGGATGAGGATCTCCCCACACCGCGCGAGTGGGTGCGGGTTTATTTGTGCAATCTCCGACCTCAATAGGTGCTCACTCACAGTACTTGCCCCGGCACCCTGCCGTGTCCCCTTGGCCCACCTCCCCCACGATGGATCTCGACTCATCCTCAATCGCGACCGCACAGGCACACACACTGTGTGTCGTGGGCACGATGTGATGCCACCGTGATGACACTGTGTGTGTGTTTTTGCGGAACGCAGCAAAACGTTGAAGGTCGTGGCCGCCCTCCCTCTTTCCCCAACTTGGCAGAGCCCTCCCCACCCCCCCACTCACAATGAACGTGGTCACCGGTCGGGGCAGGGAGTTGGGAGGGAGCGGGTGGAGTTGCTTGGCCAAGAGATATTGAGTGTGGTCCCCTACCCACTCGGTGGAATAAACTCTCCGTGAGATGGCAAAAGATTTATAGACGGGGGATCGATACGTACCGAGACGAGGGAGATCCGGGCAAGAGATGGCGATGTAGCGAGGTGAGAGACAAGAGATGCGGACGTGGTGATGTTTGTTCGGATTTGAATTCGAGCTGATATATTTGGTTCGCCCATATTTTTGTGTCACGAAGCCGGGTCCCCTAGTCCACGCATGGGCCCTGCGTGGCCTTGGACCCGGTAACTACCGCGCTCGCGTCAACTTGAATCTGAGGAGCAGGAGGACGAGGAGGAGGGAGTTGGCAAACTCGGCGGGACTGAGCGAGTTTGGGCCAGAGAGGGGTTGATTGAGAAGGGACCTGGGGGGGGGGAGGGGAGCGGTCATGTGGAAACGACGAGGCGAGCGCCGTGCAGATGGAACCAGCTCAGGGGGGGGGGTGGGCACAGGGCGTCCGTGTGGCCCGTAAACACACAGACACACACACAGACACACGCACGGGGTAAACAGACACACGCGGGGCACAACAAAGACAAAGATCTCCCGCGTAGCCTTCAACAGGCGTTTGGGACAAGTGCTGTTCGCGAGCACCTATGAAGATGCATTTTTGTCTTCTTGCCTGCCGATGTTTGACCATCGCACGAGGTGCTCATTTAAGGCTGTTTCGACCTCGGAGGAGGCCCTGGACCTGTTCAGAGATCCGCCACCGATCTTGACCATGAGGGGGAATCAAACTCGGGAGAGGGAAGAGAGGAGGAAAAGAATGGGAGGCGAGAGGGGAAGGGATGGAGAAGGAGCCGGGAAACTGGAGCCAAGGGTCAGGAGAGACGAGGAGAGACGAGGAGAGGGGGGAGGGAGGAGGCTGCGTCAGGGTCTAGACGCTGCTGCTGCTGCATGATGGAGCAGCGTCTGTTTTCACAGGGGGCGGGGCGGGGGGAGAGGGGAGGAGTTTAGAGTGGGGGTGGCCACGCAGAAGCCACGTGATTCACGGGAATCTCGAGCTGACTGAGACAGAGAGAGATATGTTTTCTCATTTTTGGCTTGATTTTGTGAGACTTTGGATGACCACATCAAATTTCCACCGAGGCCTTGTGGACAATAGACACACGCAGGCGTGTGGACATGTAAACACACACGCATACACAGAGCGGCCACAGCTCGCACTACAGACGCATCCCCCAGTGTCCTCAACTCCGCGAGGTGACGACTCACTCGGAATGATGATTATGATGATCATCATTATAATTGTTTAAAGATATTTAATCTCCGTCCACAGTTGCGTCTCGATTGTGAAATCCGTATCACATGTCACAGGGCAACGCAACACTCCAATCCGTGTTTGAGAAGGGCCGTGTAAGCGGATATCCTAGAACTGCCTCTGGGATTTTCCCTTTAAGTCGCCCGTGTTCCGCACAGCACGGGAGCACCTCCCTCACCCCCCTCCCCACGTTTCACGACACTTTAATGGTCGTTGCGTGACACGAATCAAGGCGATATTTTAAGGCCCCAGAGATGAATTTTCGTGTAAATTTAAGTGCAGAACTCAACTATTCTACGATGGGGGTTTCATTGTCAGGGCTGAGACTACCAACGCTTGAGAACTACGCGTGTCTGTGTGTCACTACGCGTGTCTGCGTGTCACTGCGCGTGTCTGCGTGTCACTACGCGTGTCTGTGTGTCACTACGCGTGTCTGCGTGTCACTGCGCGTGTCTGTGTGTCACTACGCGTGTCTGTGTGTCACTACGCGTGTCTGTGCGTCACTGCGCGTGTCTGTGTGTCACTACGCGTGTCTGCGTGTCACTGCGCGTGTCTGTGTGTCACTATGCGTGTCTATGTGTCACTACGCGTGTCTGTGTGTCACTACGCGTGTCTGTGTGGCCCTACGCGTGTCTGTGTGTCACTACGCGTGTCTGTGTGTCACAGCGCGTGTCTGTGTGTCACTACGCGTGTCTATGTGTCACTACGCGTGTCTGTGTGTCACTACGCGTGTCTATGTGTCCCCACGCGTGTCTGTGTGTCACTACGCGTGTCTGTGTGTCACTGCGCGTGTCTGTGTGTCACTACGCGTGTCTGTGTGTCACTACGCGTGTCTGTGTGTTACTACGCGTGTCTGTGTGTCACTGCGCGTGTCTGTGTCACTACGTGTGTCTATGTGTCACTACGCGTGTCTATGTGTCACTGTGCGTGTCTGTGTGTCACTACGCGTGTCTGTGTCACTGCGCGTGTCTGTGTGTCACTACGCGTGTCTGTGTGTCACTGCGCGTGTCTGTGTGTCACTACGTGTGTATGCGTGTCACTGCGCGTGTCTGTGTGTCACTACGCGTGTCTGTGTGTCACTGCGCGTGTCTATGTGTCACTACGCGTGTCTGTGTGTCACTACGCGTGTCTGTGTGTCACTGTGCGTGTCTGTGTGTCACTACGCGTGTCTGTGTGTCACTACGCGTGTCTATGTGTCACTACGCGTGTCTGTGTGTCACTACGCGTGGCTGTGTGTCACTGCGCGTGTCTGTGTGTCACTACGCGTGTCTATGTGTCACTACGCGTGTCTATGTGTCACTGCGCGTGTCTGTGTGTCACTACGCGTGTCTATGTGTCACTGTGCGTGTCTGTGTGTCACTACGCGTGTCTATGTGTCACTACGCGTGTATGCGTGTCACTGTGCGTGTCTGTGTGTCACTACGCGTGTCTGTGTGTCACTGCGCGTGTCTGTGTGTCACTGTGCGTGTCTGTGTGTCACTACGCGTGTCTGTGTGTCACTGCGCGTGTCTGTGTGGCCCTACGCGTGTCTGTGTGTCACTACGCGTGTCTATGTGTCACTGTGCGTGTCTGTGTGTCACTACGCGTGTATGCGTGTCACTGTGCGTGTCTGTGTGTCACTACGCGTGTCTATGTGTCACTGTGCGTGTCTGTGTGTCACTACGCGTGTATGCGTGTCACTGTGCGTGTCTGTGTGTCACTACGCGTGTCTGTGTCACTACACGTGTCTATGTGTCACTGTGCGTGTCTGTGTGTCACTACGCGTGTCTGTGTCACTGCGCGTGTCTGTGTGTCACTACGCGTGTCTGTGTGTCACTGCGCGTGTCTGTGTGTCACTACGTGTGTATGCGTGTCACTGCGCGTGTCTGTGTGTCACTACGCGTGTCTGTGTGTCACTGCGCGTGTCTATGTGTCACTACGCGTGTCTGTGTGTCACTACGCGTGTCTGTGTGTCACTGTGCGTGTCTGTGTGTCACTACGCGTGTCTGTGTGTCACTACGCGTGTCTGTGTGTTACTACGCGTGTCTGTGTGTCACTACGCGTGTCTGTGTCACTGCGCGTGTCTGTGTGTCACTACGCGTGTCTGTGTGTCACTGCAAGCTTGCACGTTCAACGGCGATTTGGTTCCCATAGCTGGGCTTTGTCGGCACATCATGGTCAACTCTTGCGGGCCGAGGGAAGCAACTGCTCAATGGTTGGGTGGAATCTGGAACCCTGGAATTCAAACTCAGTCGTAGCCAACCGGCACGTGTTTGTGTGTGGGACCGAACGGCTTCTGGCTGTTAACGCGTGACGCGTTCAGCCACAAACAACGGGCAGCGATATCAGCTCCAGACACACATCCTCACACTCACCACACTCACCGTGTACACTCACCACACACACTCACCACGCTCGCCGTGTACACTCACCACACACACTCACCACACTAGTGCTCACTCAGCAGTCAAACTTACTCACCCACTCACACCACGTACACACCACACTGACCATTCAAACAGTGTATGCAGTACAGTACACACCTGACAACACTCACCACTCAACCACAACCCCACACACTCACCACTTACTCACCATTCACACAGCGTATACCACGCATCAACAGACTCACACTCCCTGGACTTTACAGTTCCCACCCCCACTTCCCGTGCGGTCCCATACCCCCCACCTCCTCCCCCCACCTCCTCCCACCCCATCTCCTCCCATCCCCCCACCTCCTCCCCTCTCCCCACCTCCTCCCCTCCCCTCCCCCACCTCCACCTCCTCCCCCCACTAAACCTTAAATCCCCCAGGGCAGCAGAGGGCATCGCCCTCTCCCCCTGCCCCACCCTCCCCCCTCCACATTCACAGCTGCGCTCCCCTCCTCGCACCAACACGCGCGTCCGTGCGTGAGATAGAACTGTGGGGAGCGGTGGCGCCACAGTTAGCACACTGCGCTACGAACCCGGCCACATAAGTTCCATTCTTGAGTCGCGCGTAAGTGATATTAGAACCGGTCCTAAGCCACCGCTAAGTCGACTCAGCCTCAAGTACCTGGTGCGGTATTTAAAACATCGGAACTGGGGAGACAAAGGCGGCCGGGTGTGGTACAGTACTGGCCACACCACCCATTCGTGCGCCGTGCCGATTTTCATCGGTGCTCGCCAACAACACTTGCCCCGACAGCCTTGTGTGGGCTACACGGGGGATCTTTGTCTTTGCGAGAGAGGCGCTGGGGTGCGGGGTGATGCGGGGTTCAGGGGTCACGGGACTGACCGTTACACGCAGCCGTTCCGGTGGGGGCGGCGCTGCAGGGTGAGCACGGGACTGTGGGGCTCGTGTCTCCTGCCTCCCCAGGACTGAAGAACCTGCACCACGTGAATAGGAGGGGGGGGGGGGGTCATCAGCTGAACTCTCAGGCCCCATGAACTGGGCGCCAGCCTCACGCTCCGTGCCAAATGCTCGCAACTCGACGCTTTAATAGAAAAAAACATCCCACGGTAACATCATAACATCATTCAACTTCACACGGCTCATGTCGATGTCGAGCAACAACTGTGACTTTACATCGAGTTGGTCGATGAGCCAGACATTTGTGGTGACTCATCGCTGTCGTGATGATGCCTCCTCATCCGTATTTGCGAAACGCGCACCAGAACAGAACCCCGTGGTTGTGTTCCGGCGGCGAGTAACATCGCTTACACGTGGGACTCAAAAGGGGCCATTTCCCTCCTCATTTCCCTCCTCACGTTCTCGCCCTGACCCTACCCTGACCCCGACTCCACCCTCACCCCGTACAACTCAGCCACCCTCACCCCGGCCCAGACACCGTGATAATCGTGCACACGTGGCACGTCTGGGCTGTGTGGACGCTTCACTGATGACGCTCATTCCACGTGGATGAGCCCAGCTCCTCACCACGAGACGTGCACGGGCATAGCCACTTCAGCTCGAACGCACACGGCACTCAACCAAGACTAAGACCTCCCGTGTAGCCTTAACAGGCTATTGAGGCAAGTGCTGTAAGCGAGCGCCTATGAAGGCCGACACGGCACACGAGCGGGCCAGTGGCGAGCACGACGTCTGTACGCCTTTGTCTTCCCAGTGGCGATGTTTAGACAAAACGCCACATACTCATTTTAGGCTGAGTCGACCTAGTGGAGGCTCGGGAACGATTCGTATAATCGTCACTCGTGTTGGTGGCGCAGACACGCGCACATGCATCCCCGGCCAGGTATGACGTGCACCACAGTCAGTAGCGTAACGACCAGTGCCTGGTGCCAGGCTAGGTGCACGCGCACACACACACACGCGCGCGTACCCGGGTAGGCACGGGCCGCACTCGCTGTCGGCCACCGCGGACCCGCGCTTGCGCTCGCTCCGCGAGAGGCGTCCTGCGCAGGCCACGTGGGGCACGCACGGTGCCGTGCCCTCCGCCGCCGCCGCCGCCGAGAAAGTGCCCTGGGGGCATGGCCGGCAGGCGAGGCCCGGCCCTCCGCGTCCCGCGCCGCACTCCTACACGGGCGGCGAGGGGCAGCCGTGGCGGGGGCAAGGGGCAGAGGGCGGCACGTTCGTGAGTGTGGAAGCCATCAATCGGATGAGTTCACAGGGTTCGTTCGGCCTTTGTGTCTTGAGACTCTGTGAGAGGTTTCCCCACGAGTCAATGCGCACGCGTCTACATTGTAACTCCACTGCTGGATGAGGTCCTCCCCCCTGCCACCCCGTGTGTTATCGTGGAGGCTGATTGAGCATACTTCACGGATAAATAATAATTATAATTTAGAATGCGGCATTCCATCCTAGGATCCCAATGCGCAATGCATGAAAAGCTGGAAGCAAAAACAGAACCAGGGGCAACCGACCAAGCTAGAGAGGGAAGGCCAATTTTAAGCGATGGTATTTCAAAGCAGACTTCAATCTATCTACCGACTCTGATTGCCTGAATTCAAGTGACGAGGCGTTCCATAGCTTGGGTGCCACGCTACAAAAGCCCGATCACGAAAAGAGTGCAACCCTGGGACCTGGGAGTGCTGAGCAGTTGAAGATCAGAAGATATTAAGGGACCTTGATGGAATATATAAATGTATTAGTTCCTGCAAGTAATGTGGAGTGAGCCCTTTTCAAGCCTTATAGGTTCATAGCAGTATCTTAAAATTCACTCGAAATTTGACTGGAAGCCAATGAAGAGATAAGAGGGCCGGTGTAATGTGCTCACGGCATGGTGCACGTGGTGTGAGCACTCTAGCAGCTGCATTCTGAACAAGCTGGAGTCTGCCCACTACTTTGCTCGGAATCCCCAACCAGTGAGGCGTTGCAGTAGTCGAGTCGGAACAACACAAAAGCAGGTGACAGGAAGCGATGCATTCTGGTAACTATTTCTTAGGTGGAAAAATAACATTTTAACCACCTAAGATATATGTGCCTCAAAGGACAATGACTGTTCAAACTGAACTCCAAGGTTTTCTTTGGGACTGACAAAGTGACCACCAATCAACACACGATGCAAACACATTTTAGAAAGATGCAAAGGGGAGTCGAGGCTTCAGTCTCGTCGGCATTGAGTAGCAAAAGGTGTTAGCGCAAGTATGAATTCACTACTGTTCGTGATGCAGATAGCGCAGAAGCTGTTGCATAGTCCGGACGTAACTGGATATTAATTTGAGTATCATCTGCAAAGCAATGGTAGGATAGACCAAGGTGTCGGTGCACAATACCCAATGGTGCCATGTAGAAGCTAACAAGTTACGTGCCAAGCACAGATCCCTGCGAAACATCACAGAGAACTGGTCTAATGGGGCCACGATTGTGAATTAAAGTTGTATGGTGATGTCTGCAGCGATCCAGCAGTGGTACCACCGGGTTTGTCACATCCGCAGTAGGATCCACGTGACACCTGCCCATGCCACGCCACGGCTGGCTTGGACTGGCTCATCCCTATCATCAGCAACAGCAGCTATGATGTATCTACTGCTGGATGAAGTCCCATCCCCAACCACCAACCCCCCCCTAAACTGTTGCCATCTTTCAGGGTCCTGCGACGTCGCGATCCATCTGGAAACTGCTCGCAAGCTGATTTCATCGCTCCATCTCCACGCCAGACGTACTCTGTCGCATGTGGATTGCGTTCTATTGGCCATGCGTGTGCCATACCACTGACGATGTCACGTGCTCGTTAACCCAGAAATGCATCACCGAGTCCCAAGACTCTTTTAACAAGAGGGTCCTGCTACATTTGGATGTTCGGTCAATTCCTTATATCATTTTAAAATAAGTATTGTCCAAGGTTCAAGTTTGTTTTGATTAATTCGATGAAGCCTCAAGAGACGAGGATGGGCTCTCATTGTCAACAGTGAGTGAGTGAATGAGTGTGTGGGAGAACGAGTGAGTGAATGAGTGTGTGGGAGAACGAGTGAGTGAATGAGTGTGTGGGAGAACGAGTGAGTGAATGAGTGTGTGGGAGAACGAGTGAGTGAATGGGTGGGTGACTGAGTGAGGTAATATGTGAGTGGGTGGATCAATGGGGTTAGTGAGATGGCGGGTGAGCGGGTAAGTAATCGAGTTGGATGACGTGAGAGCGAGTTCAGATGCCAAGTTGATTTTGTTGTAAACCAGGCGAGAACTCGAGAGGCCGGGACGAATCCTCGTCTGCGAGAGTGACGCGACTTCCACTTCGAGTGGCAGGAAACCCCAGAGCCCCGAATGAACCCCCCAGCCACGTACACACAGACACTCATTGGTGGAGTTGACCAAACATCCCAATACAGGACCACAGAGCTTGGGCCATTTTGTTAGCGCCGGCGCCGGCTGCGGCTGCCTTCCCGAGCGCCCGTCTGCGCCGCGTCACCGATTCTACCGCGGGGTTCTGATCGGCCGCAAGTTGAACGAACGGCACCGATTAACAATTAAATCAAGAATGAAATATTGTTACAACTTCGTTATTGCTATTGTTACGCAAGGTGACAGCGCTCAGAGGGTCACACCGATGGGTTAGCGAAACCCACTTTCTGTACTGCCACTCACCTGGTCAAGCTCCTGCCCGGGGGGGCAGCGTGGGCAGGTGGCGCAGGTCCCATGGTGGTCCCGGTACTCGTGCTGGGCACAAGGGGCAGGGAGGGGCAGTGCCGGGGGCAGCCCCATCACCTTAACGGGGGGGGGGGGTGCAATGGGATCTCATTAATCAGCCACCAGCCTGGGGGCCACGGCTCACCCCACTCACTCGCTCACTGGCGGTCAATCGTCCCCGTGTCACTCTTCTCTCGCTACTAACGTGGTCACCGCTCCTGTCAACATCACTCACCGATGCCTTACTGCGGGTGGATGGACCGCACACATTGGCGGCTGGACAGTAATATTCCGAGAGTGTGTCCAAGGGACATGCTTCATCTGATGGAAACACTGCCCTGGAGGAAGAGGTACCCTGCACGAGGGGCCGGTCTGAGACTGCGCAGTGAGCCCTGCAGCACCACACCAATGCTGAACTCGAGGTTGTTGTTGTGGTGGTGGTGGTGGTGGTTGTGGTCGTGGTGGTGGTGGTGGTGACACGTACCACGAGTAGACACGACACCGCAGGCAGGTAGAGGTAAAGGTGGCTCGGCTTCGTCCGCATCCTCACGACACTCGCCTGACATCCGACCTACGAGGGCAGCACGGCCAGATAAGGGCAGCGGAGGTAGATAAGGGCAGCGGGGGCAGGGCAGGGCAGGCCGTGTTTACGGATGCGTTGACAGCGATGACCACAGCGATGATGGTGATGATGATATCCCGCGATGGAGGAGCGCACGCTATGGGAGCGCGGGTTTGCGACACCACTCAGATCCCATCTCCGTTGCTCAACGGGGACCCCCCCCCCCCCACGATGCGTGGACTCGACACGACGCGGGGTGGTAAACAGAGGGGGCGAATCCAATTCGCGTGGTTCCATCTCTCCTTGGGACGTCCTGGGTGCTGCCGCGCGCCACCGCTCAGCCTGACGCATACTGAACGGTCCGAGGTCAAGGTTAGAGTGATGCTGAGTGTCTGGGGTTATGGCTAGGAATAGGTCTAGCGTTAGGTCTCGTGTGAGGCATGTCTCTAGGTTGTGACTACGGGTAGGGTCGGTTAGGGCAAGGGTAGAAGATTATGGAATAAAGTTTGGTCTAGATCTGGCTGTATGTATGTTGAACTTCTTTCGCACCATACGTAGCCAACTGTGGTAATCGGAGGTGCGCGGTAGGGCTAAGGTTCAGGTTAGGTTTGTGGTTCGAACGAGTGTTGTGGTAGGGATAGAGTTGGGGCTAAGGTTAGGGCTAGCATTCAGTTTAAGGGATTGGCTTATGGTTAGGGGTATGGTAGGCATTTAACACTCGAGTTAGGGAAACAGCTAGGATCATTGTTAAGACTGGAGTTAGGTCTCGTGGTGGCGTTAGGGTCAGGGTTAGATTTGGGTTCGGGCTATACTCTATGGTTCGTGGTAATTATTTTGGCGAGGTCAGGGGGCTAGGGCCACCATTCTAGTTAGGGGCACGGTCAGGGATAGTGCGAGGGCAACAGCGAGCTCGGGTTATGGTGACGACTCGCTCGGGTCAGGGGCTAGGGTTAGGGGCTAGGGTCAAGGGTCAGGGGCTAGGGTCAGAGGCGAGGTTCGGAGCTGTGAGCCTCCGCGAGTTGGCGATCGCGATGTCCCTATCAGCAATGAGCGACGGGCGTCACGTGGGACGATATCCCACTGCTGGCGGCAGCGCCGAGCTCCGTGATGGCAGGGCGGGGTGTCACGCGGGGAAGGCATGGCAAAGCGATGATGGGGGGAGGTGGAGATGGGATTGGGTGGAGGAGCGAGTTGGAAGCGTGGGGGGAGGGTATGACAGATGGAGAGAGAGAGAGTGGGCAGAGAGAGAGAAAGCGATGAGAGCTCAGGGAGAGAGGGAGAGAAGAGGGGTGGCCACCCACGTGTGTGTGTCTGTGGGTGCATTTGCCCCAACGGTCTGTTAGGGCTATACGGGGACCTTTGTTTGTTTTGTTGTGCACGTGGTCCGCGTCTGATCGGAACCTGAAGCAGACTCGACTCACAGAGGTCCAGCCTCATAAAGAGACCCACAGTCTCACACAGAGACCCACAGACTCGCACAAAGACATAGAGAGCCACAGACCAAAAGGCAACCATCGAGACCCACAGAATCCCTGCCCCTGCTCAACTCCATGCAGAATGAACACTTCCCTTGTTTTCACGAGAGTGACTGCGTCTTTCTCTCTACAAGTACACACATTGTGTCCTGATGCATAGACTCGCGCAGACACCCAGACCCTTAGAGTCACACAGAGGCACAGACTCGCACAGAGACCCGAAGTTTTGCATAGAGACCCATGACCGTGTGCCTTTCCCGACAAAAGAAACACGCCAACACGCTGAGTACCGCGTCTGAAGACGACGTTGTGTAAATCCGCCGGGCTGAATAGCCGAGGCTCACGGTGCCAGACTCAGGCTCCAAGAGAGGGGTTCCGTGTTAATCACTGGGGCTCGTCGATCCAGAGGAAGGTGATACCTGAGCGAATGGTGGAAATTCCACATTAACATGGCCAATGGGAGTGTGTCCGCAATCATCCCACAAAGCCAGCCACTGAGCCCTGACGCTCTCCGGGCCAGACTCCAGGAAACTTTACACCACTCATGCAAATTAAACTGCTCGCTGTCTCAGCGGTGGGGGGGGGGAGCATCGGGTGGGGGTTTGCGGGCAGATGGCTCCGGGATCGAACCGCTGTCCACAGCCGAGTTGTTGCATCGCAAGCACCGGGCTGGGACAACGGCGATGCTGATGGTAATGGGTTAAAGCCCTGGCGCAGTGGTTAGCGCTGCACTGCGCTACGAACCCGGTGAACCGAGAACAATTCCCGCTCGCGACCAACAACAGTGACGAATAGTTGAAGCGGTCCAGGGCTTCCCCTAGGTCGGCTCAACCTCAAACTGACGTTTACACACCGCACGTCGGGGAGACAAAGACGGCTGGGTGTAACCATGAATACCCACCCCCTCGTGTGCCGTGCCGCCCATCACAGGGGTTCGCTAACAGCACTTGCCCCAACAGTCTGTTCAAGGCTACACGGGGGACCTTCGTCTTTGTGTGTGTGGGTAATGGGAATCCATGGCGCAGTGTTTAGCGCATTGCGCCACGAACCCATGAACCTCGACTCAAGTCTCAACCACGGGTGACGGTTATGCGCCTCCCCTAGGTCAGTTCAGCCTTAAATGAATACCAGTGTGGTGTTGGTTCAATGTGTAAGCATCAGCGCTGGCGATCGGTAGCGGTGCTGGTCACACCGTCCCGACCGAAAAAGGTGCTCGCTAACAGCATATGCCCCAACAGTCTGTTTAGGCTATACGGGGTATCTTTGCCTTTGTATGTAAGTTCACATGTATTATGTGTGTCCTGTGTATGTACACTATATATGTACACGTGTGTAACTGTGCATGTACGCGTGTCTTTGTGTATGCGTTCATCTCCACCGCGGTCTTTCAAATCACACCGCATGACTGAATGCCGCATCATGCCGGGCCGCGGGACGGACTGACGACCTCCAGGGATAACCGCTGGCGGCCACGAGTGACGAACCCGGCCACATCAGCCCGGTGGCGACACACCGAGTCCGTCCAGCCAGAGACGTGTCCCGTGACTCTGTCTCCCCATGGCCCCGTTGCAGTGTCTCTGTGTCACTGTGTCTCAGTGTGTCTCTGTGTCTCACTGTGTCTCAGTGTGTCTCAGTGTCACTGTGTCTCAGTGTGTCTCTGTCTCACTGTCTTGGTGTGTCTCTGTGTCTCACTGTGGCTCAGTGTGTCTCTGTGTCACTGTGTCTCAGTGTGTCTCAGTGTCACTGTGTCTCAGTGTGTCTCTGTCTCACTGTCTCGGTGTGTCTCTGTGTCTCACTGTGTCTCAGTGTCTCACTGTGTCCTACTGTGTTTCACTGTGTCTCAGTCTGTCTCAGTGTGTCTCTGTGTCACTGTGTCTCGGTGTCCCACTGTGTCTGTGTCTCACTGTGTCTCAGTCTGTCTCAGTGTGTCTCGGTGTGTCTTTGTGTATCACTGTGTCTCAGTGTATCTCAGTGTGCCACTGTGTCTCACTGTGTCTCACTGTGTCTCTGTGTCACTGTGTCTCACTGTGTCTCACTGTGTCTCTGTCACTGTCTCAGTGTGTCTCAGTGTCACTGTGTCTCAGTGCCCCACTGTGTCTGTGTCTCACTGTGTCTCAGTCTGTCTCAGTGTGTCTCTGTGTCACTGTGTCTCAGTGCCCCACTGTGTCTGTGTCTCACTGTGTCTCAGTCTGGCTCAGTGTGTCTATGTCTCACTGCGTCTCGGTGTGTCTCGGTGTGTCTCTGTGTATCACTGTGTTTGTCTCTCACTGTGTCTCAGTGTGTCTCTGTGTCTCACTGTGTCTCAGTGTGTCTCAGTATGTCTCAGTGTGTCTCAGTCACTGTGTCTCAGTGTATATCTGTGTCACTGTGTCTCAGTGTCTCACTGTGTCTCACTGTGTCTCTGTATCTCAGTGTGTCTCTGTGTCACTGTGTCTCAGTGTCTCAGTGTGTCTCTGTCACTGTCTCATTGTGTCTTTGTGTCTCAGTCTGTCTCAGTGTGTCTCTGTCACTGTGTCTCAGTGTGTCTTTGTGTCTCAGTCCGTCTCAGTGTGTCTCTGTCACTGTGTCTCAGTGTGTCTCACTGTGTCTCTGTCACTGTGTCTCACTGTGTCTCTGTCACTGTGTCTCAGTGTGTCTCTGTGTCACTGTGTCTCAGTGTGTCTCTGTGTCTCAGTGTGTCTCTGTCACTGTATCTCAGTGTGTCTTTGTGTGTCAGTCTGTATCAGTGTGTCTCTGTCACTGTGTCTCAGTGTGTCTTTGTATCTCAGTCTGTCTCAGTGTGTCTCCGTCACTGTGTCTCAGTGTGTCTCTGTCTCACTGTCTCAGTGTGTCTCTGTGTCTCAGTGTGTCTCAGTCACTGTCTCAGTATATATCTGTGTCTCAGTGTATATCTCTGTCACTGTGTCTCAGTGTGTCTCTCTGTGCCAGTGTCCCCATGCGTCTGCGTCCCAGTGTGTCTCTGTCCGTCTATCCGTGTCTATGTGTCGCTGTGTCTCTGTATCTTAGTGTCCACGTGTCCCTGGTTCTCCGTGTCTCTCCTCGCGTCCCCGTGTCTCTGTATCCACGTAGCGTGCCAGTGTCTCCGTGTCTCACTCCCAGCTCGGAACCTCATCCGCGACCCCTGCGACACGTGCACAGGGGTCCTCAATCACCGCCATTCATCAACACAAACTCATCACCACTACTCTCATCACCATCATTACCATCATCACCATCAACACTATCATCACCATGACCACCACCACTATCATCACCATCACCACGTCTCTCCTCGTCACTCACCCTGCTCCTCGGACTCCGCAGAGCCTCGCTCCGCGGCGCGACTCTTTCGACTCTCCCGGCTCCCCGGCCCCGTCTCCCCGTCTCTTCCACCGTCTCTCCTTCGCTCCCCGCCTCTCTCGGTCTCCCCGCGTCTCTCTCTGCTCGTCTCTCCCCGCGTCTCTCTCTCTGCTCGTCTCTCTCTGCTCGTCTCTCCCCGCGTCTCTCTCTGCTCGTCTCTCTCTGCGCGTCTCTCTCTGCGCGTCTCTCTCTCTCTCTGCTCTTCTCTCCCCGCGTGTCTCTCTCGCTCTCTCTCTCCCGCTCTGTCTGTCGCTTTGTGCCGGGTGCCGGGTGTTGGATGAAGCGTGGTGGAGGGGAGAGCTGACGTGAAGGGGAGGGGGGAAAGGGGGGAGGGGGAAAAGAGGGGTGGGAGGAAAGGGGGGTGGGGGGGAAAGGGGGGAGGGGGGAAAAGGGGGGAAGGGGGAAAAGGGGGGAGGGGGGAAAGGGGGGAGGTGGGAAAGGGGGGAGGGGGAAAGGGGGGAGGGGGGGAAAGGGGGGAGGGGGGAAAGGGGGGAGGGGGGAAAGGGGGGGAGGGGGGAAAGGGGGGGAGGGGGGAAAAGGGGGAAAGGGGGGAGGGGGGAAAGGAGGGAGGGGGAGTGACGTGTTTTTGTGTGGCGTGGTGACGTAACGCGTCGGGCGTGCGTGACTGGCCAGAGCGCGCGCGCCTGCACAGTGACGTACAAAAGACAAAGACTCCCCGTACAGGCTACACAGGCGGATGGGGAAAGTGCTATTAAGCGAGCACTTATCTGGGCCGATACAGCACAGGAGGGGGGTGAGTAGCACACACTACACGAGGTCGTCATTTGAGGCTGAGTCGACCTAGAGGAGGCCTCACACGGATCCACACATACACACTTATGAAGGCCGGGAAGGTACAGGAGGATGTGAGTGGCCAGCACCACCCCCGACCGCCTTTGTCTCTCCAGTAGCGATGCTTACACAGCACACCAGGTACTCATTTGAGGCCGAGTCGACCTACGGGAGGCCCAGGACCGGTTCAGATAATCGTCACCGGTGATGGCCGTGAGCGAAAATCGACCTCGGATTGCCAAGTTCGAAGCACAGCGTGCTAACCACCGCGCCACCGCTCCCCACCTATAGTACCGACATTGTTCACACTGGCGCATTGTGACGTCTCTAGGCGCATTGTGACGTCTCGAGGCGCATTGTGACGTCTCTAGGCGCATTGTGACGTCTCTAGGCGCATTGTGACGTCCCTAGGATGTGGGGGGGGGATTCCGCCACAACCGCGCGCCTTTTATTCCTGTTCCAGGGTGAGGCTGGCGCAAGTTGCCTGCGTGTAGCCCTCATGGTCCAACGCCTCAAGCTCCTCTCTGCTCTCTCTCACCTCTCGCGACCACGAGAGGTCCCCAGCGCAACCATCAATTCCCCAATACAACAACAATAATAATAAAATAATAATCCCGCTCCCCTGGATCTCCTGGCAGCTCGCGCTCTCACGAATTGCCCTGAGGAATTCGCAATCGAGTAAGTCCTCGTTTAACGCGGTAGATGCGTTCCTGAAAAGTGCCGCGTTCAGCGAAAAACGCGTTAAGCGAAAACATTTCCCCATAAATAATGCAGCGGTGAAGTTTGGCGTGATGCGATCTACCACTACGACTACTACGTGTATTGTATCATTCCGTATATTGTATCATTCCGTGTATTGTATCATTCCGTGTATTGTATCATTCCGTGTATTGTATCATTCCGTGTATTGTATCATTCCGTGTATTGTATCATTCCGTGTATTGTATCATTCCGTGTATTGTATCATTCCGCGTATTGTATCATTCCGTGTATTGTATCATTCCGTGTATTGTATCATTCCGTGTATTGTATCATTCCGTGTATTGTATCATTCCGTGTATTGTATCATTCCGCGTATTGTATCATTCCGTGTATTGTATCATTCCGTGTATTGTATCATTCCGTATATTATATCATTCCGTGTATTGTATCATTCCGTGTATTGTATCATTCCGTGTATTGTATCATTCCGTGTATTGTATCATTCCGTATATTATATCATTCCGCGTATTGTATCATTCCGTGTATCATTCCGTGTATTGTATCATTCCGCGTATTGTATCACACCGCTCGGCCGCGCATCTCCAGAAAGTACTTCGTCGTCAGCCGCCAGAAACCGCGTTATAACGGAGCACGTTCCATATTGTGCGCTGTTATTGAATGGAAGAACCGCGTTATAGCGGCGTGAACACCGCTTGTTAAACGAGGACTTACCGTCATGTATTCTCACCTCGTCTTTTGCCTCTTTCCAGTCCGCTCCCTTCCCTGTCACTCCGAGTGCCCTGACAACTACGGCCCCACCACCGCTCCATCAACCATCTCCAAACTTATCGAGTGACTCGCCCATCATCTCTCCCTCCGGGAGGTCAACACAATTGGCACCACTTTGGTGGTTTGAACCGGTGGGATATGCTTGAGATGTCCACCTGTCCCGGGACAGTTCGGGAATTGTCATCTGTGTTCGGGTGGCAGCAGCGAGAGATTTGGTACCGAGATCTGGCACGCGGCGCCCTTGCTGTGTTGAACTCTGTCAGGAGGAGACTCCGCGGTGTCGACACCCAGCGCTGACCGCTAACATCCTCTGTGTTGTGTCAGCAGCGGAGAAGGTGGCGACCCAAATTGTGGGGTGGGGGCTGGAGGCGATCGCCCCCTAACCCCCCCTCCCCCGACCACAGGTGAAGCCTCTGCGGCAATTTCCTGGACAAATTTTCAGTGGGGGAGTGGGGGGGGGGCACTTTCGCCGATAATGCATCAGCAGCTGGGAAAGTCAACAGCGGCTATTCCTATGAATACTCACCCCCGCCACAGGAATGTGCAATTTCCACCCACCGACTCTGCAGGGCCGTCGGAGGAGCACCAATGCCCCATTGCTGATTTAAGCAGCAGGAGATCATTGACGCAACGACGGCACCAACAAACCACGCATACTCTCACGACGATTATCATCCTTTAATTCGTCACTTCTCATTCGATATTCCGTCTCGTTGAGTGCAATACGTGGGGAGCTGCGCGCAGGCAACCCGGCAGAGGGGGGGGGGAGAGCCGGTGAGCTTAAAGGCGCTCTCCTGCGCTTGCTCTCCCTTGTACACACACATACAGTACATACCACTTACACATACACGTGTGTAAGTGGTGCGTGCGGTGCGGTGCTGGCCACCCATCCCCTTGTGTGCTGTACCGGCCTTCATAGGTGCTCGCTAACGGCACTTGCCCCAAATATATGTTAAGGCTATACGGGGGATCTTTGTCTTTGTGTGTCAAGCATTGCGACGTACTATGGCGTCCGCGTGACAGCCACGTGCGTCGGAGGTGCTAATGGGATGATAATTGGTTCGGCGTCATCAGCGTCTCGACGACTCGTCGTGAGCAGCCTCGTTATGATAGTGAAGAGGGTTCGCACTGGTGCGTGTGTACTACAACGGTGTGCGTGTCTGTGTGTGTGTCAGTGTGTTGGCACAGTAGGGGGCACAGGTGGTGCATCAGCCGGTCATCTCGGTCATCTCAGTCAGTCGACCCGTGGCACCTGGGTCTGCCCCGTGACCTCCTGCCAGCGGGCGTTCGACACTTCACGTGGCCTCAAGGTGCACATGGCCTGGCACAAGCGTCGTGATGACATCATCGCCACTTAGTGGCGAATGGCGGTTGTTGTTGTTGTATGTGTCTGCGAGTGTGTGAGAATCCGGCGACCCGAGTTCGATTCACACACACGACGAACATCAGTGACGATTATCCGAACCGGTCCCGGGCCTCCCCTAGGTTGACTCAGCCTCAAAGCAGCCACCTGGTGCGGTGTAAATATCATCACAAGGGAGACAAAGGCGGCCGAGCGTGGTACTGGCCACCGACCCCCTAGGGGTGCTATCGCGGCCTTCAGAGGTGCTCGCTAACAGCACTTGCCCCTACAGTCTGTTAAGGCTATGTGGGGGGTCTTTGTCTTTGTTGGATATGTGCGAATATGTACGTGTGTGCGATTGAGTGCTTATGTCTGAGTGCGTGCGTGTGTGCGTGTCCGTGCGTGGGTTCGTGTCCGTGTATGCGTGCGGGTCTGTGCGTGTGTCCGTGCTTGCGTGTCCGTGCGTGTGTCCGTGTGTGCGTGTCCGTGGGTGTGTGCGTGCGGATCTGTGCGTGTGTCCGTGCTTGCGTGTCCGTGTGCGTGTCCGTGCGTGGGTGTGTGCGTGCAAGTCTGTGCGTGCGTGGGTGTGTCCGTGCGAGTCTGTGCGTGCGTGGGTGTGTGCGTGTCCGTGCGTGGGTGTGTCCGTGCAAGTCTGTGCGTGCGTGGGTGTGTCCGTGCGAGTCTGTGCGTGCGTGGGTGTGTGCGTGTCCGTGCGTGGGTGTGTGCGTGCAAGTCTGTGCGTGCGTGGGTGTGTCCGTGCGAGTCTGTGCGTGCGTGGGTGTGTGCGTGTCCGTGCGTGCAACGCAGTGGCGCAGCTTTCGCTCACTGCGCCTACGAACCCAGCGAGCTGGTTTCACTTCCCGGGTAACATCAGCGGTACGTACAATCCGTGTCTGTTATAACACTCAGCCTTAATCGAGTGCCTGATGCAGTGTGTAAACATCAGCACTGGGGAGACAAATACGGCTGGGCGCGTTACTGTAGGCACACCGATCCGTCGTGTGCCGTGCCGGCTTCCATCGGTGCTTCGCGAACAACACTTGCCCCAACAGCGTGTAAGGCTATACGGGGAAGGGGGGGTCTTTGTCTTTAGCTATGTGCGTTCTATGTACAAATGTCGGTGCATCCTCTCCCCGTGAATCCTGTTCTCGTCCCCACCCCCTGTCCTCACCCCCCCCCCGCCCCCTCGGCGTGGGAGGGTAGCGGGGTCGGGAACGGTGGCATTTACACGTCTCGCTAATTGTCGAATGTACAAAATGTACAGGCGCGTATTTACACAAAGCTGCAGGCGACGTGGCGATGGTGCAGCCGTTGGCAGTGGTGATGGGGGTGATAGTGATGATGGTGGTTGGTGGTGATGGGGGATAATGGTTATTGTGGTGGTTGGTGGTGATGGGGGATAATGGTGATGGGGGATAATGGTGATGGTGGTGGTTGGTGGTGATAGGGGGTAATGGTGATGGTGGTGGTTGGTGGTGATGGGGGATAATGGTGATGGTGGTGGTTGGTGGTGATGGGGGATAATGGTGATGGTTGGTGGTGGTGGTGATGAGGTTGATGGTTGCGGTGCAGGCGGTGGTGACGCTGTGGTCACGATGGCGGTGGTGACGATAACTGTGACAGTGGCAAGGGTTGTGGTAGTGATGGTAGTAGTGATGGAGATGGTGGTAGTGATGGAGATGGTAGTGATGGTGGTAGTGATGTAGATGGTGGTAGAGATGGTGGTAGTGATGTAGATAGTGGTAGTGATGGTGGTAGTGATGGTGGTAGTGATGGAGATGGTGGTAGTGATGGAGATGGTAGTGATGGTGGTAGTGATGTAGATGGTGGTAGAGATGGTGGTAGTGATGTAGATAGTGGTAGTGGTGATGGTAGTGATGGTGGTAGTTGTGGAGACGGTGGTAGTGTTGGAGATGGTAGTGATAGAGATGGTGGTAATGATGGTGGTAGTGATGGTGGTAGTGATAGTGATGGTGGTAATGATGGTGGTAGTGATGGAGATGGTGGTAGTTGCGATGGTAGTGATGGTGGTAGTGATGGTGGTAGTTATGGAGATGGTGGTATTTATGGTGGTAGTGATGGTGGTAATGATGGTGGTAGTGAGAGTGATGGTAGTAGTGATGGAGGTAGTGATGGTGATAGTGATGGTGGTAGTGATGGTGGTAGTGATGGTAGTGATGGTGGTAGTAATAGTGATGGTAGTAGAGATGGTGGTAGTGATGTAGTGGTAGTGATGGTGGTAGTGATGGTGGTAGTGATAGTGGTAGTGATGGTAATGATGGTGGTAGTGATGGAGGTAGTTATGGAGATGGTGGTATTTATGGTGGTAGTGATGGTGGTAATGATGGTGGTAGTGATAGTGATGGTAGTAGTGATGGAGGTAGTGATGGTGATAGTGATGGTGGTAGTGATGGTGGTAGTGATAGTGATGGTGGTAGTGATGGTGGTAATGATGGTGGTAGTGATGGAGGTAGTGATGGTGGTAGTTATGGAGATGGTGGTAGTGATGGTGGTAATGATGGTGGTAGTGATAGTGGTAGTGATGGTGGTAGTGATGGTGGTAGTGATGGAGATGGTGGTAGTGATGGTGGTAATGAGGGTTAATAGTGATAGTGATGGTGGTAGTGATGGAGGTGGTGATAGTGATGGTGGTAGTGATAGTGATGGTGGTAGTGATGGAGGTGGTGGTAGCGATGGTGGTAATGATGATGGTAGTGATAGTGATGGTGGTAGTGATGGTGGTAGTGATGGTGATGGAGATGGTGGTAGTGATGGTGGTAATGATGATGGTAGTGATAGTGATGGTGATAGTGATGGTGGTAGTGATGGTGGTAGTGATAGTGATGGTGGTAGTGATGATGGTAGTGACAGTGATGGTGGTAGTGATGATGGTAGTGATAGTGATGGTGGTAGTGATAGTGATGGTGGTAGTGATAGTGATGATAGTAGTGATGGTGGTAGTGATGGTGGTAGTGATAGTGATGGTGGTAGTGATAGTGATGATAGTAGTGATGGTGGTAGTGATGGTGGTAGTGGTAGTGATGGTGGTAGTGATGGTGGTAATGATGGTGGTAGTGATAGTGGTAGTGATGGAGGTGGTGAAACTTTGCCCAGGGCGTCTCTAGAAAGGGATAACTGATGAGCATGATGTCTTTGCTGATGATGACGATGTTCATACTGCTGATGATGACCGTGATTATTTACGTTGAAGATGATGGTGCTGTTGATGACGATGATTATGGTGACACTGATAATGATAAAGACGATTACGTTCACGATGATGGCGCTATCGCTGATCGTGATATTGGTAATGACGCTGCTATTGATGATGAAATTGGTATAGAGTTGTTGATGATGAAGCTGTTGATCATGTAGCTGTTGACGATGAAGCTGTTGATGATGACCGTGAGAAGAGGGGGATTATGATCGTGGAGACCGTGGGGGGAGAACCGAGATGGGGGGCGGGGCTGGGGGCTCTTCTGGGTGTGAGGGATGAGGGGAGGGGCCGATCGCGCTCGCAGTTTAACGATGACATCGCCAATCAGCCAAAGGCGCGATCACAACAAACGAACCACGTGACCATCACGCACTCCCAACCCGTCCCAAAGGGATGTCAACATCACAGCCGATAACATCACCACAGCACGACCCACATCACCCCACATCACCTCGCCCCCACCGCCCATCCTTTGCCCCACATCCCCCTCCCTCTCTCCAAGCCCGCGCCTCTGCTCGCCCCGAGCCCCGTCGCGGTGTCCAACCGAGACCCTCGGCGCTCCTGAGCGCGCGCGCGTTGTGCAAAGCCTCAGCGGGTGGCGCAATGTGTTTCTTTATTGACAATACAGCAGCAGCGGGTGGCGTTACCACACCGCTGCCCATCACCCACCCCGCCTCATCCCCCCACTCTCCCTCCCTCCAAAGGGGAGACGTGACCCCGATCACGGGGTACGCCTCGAGCTAACGGGGGTCCCTTCACCCTTCAGCGCAAGGTACCCCCCCCCCCCTTACACTCCTCCTCCTACCCCCTTCAGCGCACGGGATCTCTCGTCCCGAGGAGCCCTCCTCCATTCGACACGTGTCACCCAGTCCATAGGGGGCCCCAAACTCCAAGGGGTCTCCCACCCACGTGGTCTCTCCACCCACGTGGTCTCTCCAGCCACGGGGTGTCGATCCCACGAGTCCTGAGCCAGCAGCGGGTCTCGCGCCCGCAGGATCTTCATAGCCACGAGGTCCTACGAGCTGACGGCATCCTAAAACTGAATGGGCTCTTGACAGCTCATGGGGGTACTCAACCTCTAAGGGGTCTACCCAGTACACACGGTCTATCCATCTCAGGGGTCTACCACCACAATCACTGGCAGGGATCCACCATCCACGGGGTTCCCCGAAACTCACAGGGGCCTGCGTAGCTCACGGGGTCTCCCGACTGTTTGGGTCCGTCCAGCCCACGTACCGCAGGGGTGCGACGTCTCTAACCCTGAAGAGCCCTCACGGGTTCCGCGGGGCTTCTCCGGGGTTCACAGACACCGGGCTGCACGGATCGGCCGCGTTACGCGGCGACCTCCTCCAGTGGTGGAGGATTAAGGGCCTCCATGCGAGTCTGTGGGCCTCTATGTAAGTCTGTGGGCCTCTATGTAAGTCTATGGGCTTCTGTACGAGTCTATGGGTCTCCGTGCGAGTCTATAGGTCTCTGTGTAAGTCTATGGGTCTCTATGTAAGCCTATGGGTCTCTATGCAAGTCTATGGATCTCTACGTGAGTCTATGTGCATTTCATCGTGACTGCGGTGGAACGCAATCCATCACTGATGCCACCGATCGTTGCTCAACACCACGCACTTTCAAAGGAGGCACAAACGGACTCCATCGGATGGCTTCTCCAAAGCCTCTAAACTCGCAGCTGTATCCTCGCTCCGTTGTTTTTCAACCGTGGAGTCATCCACCAGGATAAATGAACTTCACCTACCGAGGGGAAGTCCTCAGGGAAGATGGTGGGACACTGACAGGGCAGACCCTGGGGGTCACGTGTCTACTGTGTGACAGTAGCAGCAGCAGCAGCAGGTGGAGCTGCGGAGATCTGCTGGAGGAGGCTCGGGTCGCACACCCATCCGGGACTCGGAGTCCGTGTTTGCAAGGCAGTGGGGATCGGTTTGTACCAAGATCCGGTTCCAGTGTCACTGCGATGAACTGAACCGTCCGTACACCGCACCGTCTCGCAACCGCGAGGCTGGCTGAGAAATCCGTCAGGGTTGGGTCTGCAGCCCTGGCGAGCTGCAGTGGCATCGCCGGCTGCGATCTTGCCTAGCTGTGGCTGTGATCGGACACTCCTCGCTCCCAACAGCCCCGCGTCTATCTTTAGGGGGTGACCTCTTCCCCTTTGCCCTAAATTTAGATGAAGAGAAGCGATGCCTCCAGACGCCAAACGTGAACCGCGCTCGGGGTGGAAGCCGCTGCTTTAAGGCGCCGTCAGATTTGGCATCGTCACGCAGCATGTTCGCGACATGGGGCCGTGAGAGGCATGACGGCGGCGTGCAGAGGCCTTCATCCAGCAGTGGATCGACCGTGGCTGATGACGGTGACCCGGGACTTCGTCTAGCCCAGAGCGGTACCCATCGTGTCGACTCGGATGGCTTGTGGGGGCGGGCAGGATATATCGTCCCAAGAAGAGTGGAAAACCACAACGGAAGACGAACGGTGATGAGCGTGGAAGCCTCGGGGAGGATAGAGACTGGGGTGGCCGCCTGTCTGGGAACCGGCCTCGGTTTTCGGGTGGCAGGAATTAATTTGTCCCGAGGTGCGGTGCTATTTGTGCGGAACTTTATCACGGTACACTGCACAACTTTTGATAATGGACCAAGTGCCGACTGAGAACTAAATCCGGGTTTGGTCTACAGCGGAAATGCAGGTGGACCCCAGTGGAGACCGAGGGACATGGCCTAGAAAGCAGTGGTTCAAAGCGGTGAACCAGGACGTCGAGAACTGCAGAGTGGATTTGGAGATCACACGGGACAGCAGTGAGTGGAGGGGGAGAAAGGCAGCAGACCCCGAGAGCCGCTGAGCCTGTGGGTGGGTGTTCCCTATAGCTCCCAGGTCTCCCTGACAATAGACAGATGGCAGACCTCACTGGCCTCTCACCTGGGTCAAATACCGGCATCAGGCACACAAGGAGCATCGCCATCAGGTTCGCCAAATCAGCGGACCACATGGGAGGTTACCTGCAATCTGGAGTCGCTTGCCTGTGAGCCATACCCACCCGGGGGCCCACCCTGTCTTAGGCCACGTGTTCAGGGGCCCACCTGTACAGTGGTGGCCACATTTAAGGGGCCCCACCACATGCCCACGAGCCACCCTGTGTAGACGCTACTCACCCAAGCAGCCCTCCCTGCATGGAGGGCACATGTCCAGGGCCTGTCAAATGGCCCAGGAGCCCACCCTGTGTCCTAGAGGCCCCACCACGTGCTCAGGGTCCACCCTGTGTGGACGACACCGAGCCCGGGGGCCCACGATGTGTGGTGGAAGCCACGTGGCATGGGCCCACCCTGTACGAAGGCCACCCGCCCCAGGGGCAAACTCAGTACGAGGAAACATGTCCAGGACCCACTGCGTACAAAGGGCCCCACCCTGTTCAGTAAACACGTGTCCGAGGGCCCACCCTGTATGCTCGAGGCTCACTCAAGGCAAAGGCCACTTGCCTAAGGCCCGCCACTTGCATGGAGATCTCTTGTCCGAGCACCCACCCTGTGCTTAGGCCACGTGTCCCAGGGGCACCACCACCACGTGTCCCATGGGCCCACTCAGTGTGGCGGCCACGTGCGCAGAACCCACCACACGTCCAAGGGCCCACCCTGTACACTGGAGGCCACGTGTCCCAGGGGCCCACCCGGTGTCGTCCCAGGGCCTGGCTCAGACCCTCCACAGCAGCAGGTGGTTGGTGCTGTCGTCCCTCCCCGCGGCGTCGTCTCCGCCGGGGCTAGGTGACCCCGTGAACTCCTCGTAGCCGTCCCCGCCGCTGATGACCAGCAGTGCCCCGGGGCCCCCCGCGTGGCCCCCCACGGGCCCCGCGCCCCCCAGGACCCCCGGCAAGCCGCTCGCGCGCAACCGCTTCCCCGAGTCGCGACGAGGCGCCTTTGGGGTTTGGTCGGGGGCCCCCACGGGGCCTCCTGCACAGAGGGGAGGGGGGTGGGGGGAGAAGAAGAGGGGAGAGGGAAGGGGAGGGAGGAGAATAACAGCCACTGATGTTAGCCGCGAGTGGGAATCGAACTCGGTTCATTTGTAGCGCAATGTGCGAACCACTTAAACGCATGCATCTTCTTCTTCTATCGACCCGCTGATGTAGATGAAAAGCAACAACTACAATTTCAGATTCAGGTGGTCAAGCCAGACAACCGCCGTAGGCGAGTGCAGTATGCGTATTCAGAAACACGAATGCGTTATGAACAGCAGCAGGGTGCACAACAAGAACATGAATGAGAATAATTATTAGAGAAGGGCAGGGTGAGATTTCTTGGACCTGCGATGAGAAAACAAGAGGCCGAGTATGAAAGTGGCTCTGACTGGGTACCACAACGAAACTGGGGAAGACAGCAAATTGGGTTCCACGAGCAATGAGAACGATTGGATGTCACTGGGAGGAGAATCCGATGCGAAGTCGTTAAGTAAATGTCATGGACAGAGTTCAGTGGACAGGAGGCCACGATCGCCGACTTCCATGAGAAACGACGTGGCTCACAGACAGAGAGACATTGACATGCGTTTGTGGAAACAAACAATTACACAATTCCGCATACATATTCACCACCACCACCACCTCCATCCTGTAAACAGACAGAGCCATACGCTCTCTCCATTGTTAAGAGGCCCTTCCTTTACAAGTATGCGTCTCTTGGTGACAGACTTGGGTCTCCTCCAGTTTCCACTGTGACATCATCAGACATCAGCTCCGCACCACAAACCTCAACCCGGTTTCGGTATCTGATTCACTCATCATCGTGGTCATCACCACCACCATCATCCATCATCAAATCATTGCTGGGGGGGGGCAAAGATTCAGCGTCCACGTAATAGCCCCTCCCCCCTCCAAGTCCAAAATTCTCCACACACACGAGATAAATAAATAATCTACTGCTGGATGAAGGCCACCCTATGACGATAACCATGATCATCACCATCATGCTCATCATCAGCCGTGATCAAGAAACATCATCATCAGCAGCAGCCATGATCCAGCGTCCCCCCGAACGCTGTCTTCCTCTAACCCGGGCTGACCCCTGGCCGTGCGCTGTCACGGCGGTCTTTGTGAGGTCATTTCCTTCTCAGCAGGCCGAGACAGAAATATGCCAATTCCCCCAAATTGACGCCAGCAACAGCCATGAGCGTTATTAATATGATTCAGCCGAACCTCCGTAACACAGCACACAAGGACCCGCCTCTGAGTGAGTCACGCGTTCGCCAAATTACCCTCAGACGCGCGGCGGCAGTGAACAACTGAGATTAATCGGAGCTCGCTCACAATGAAGGTGACCCCCGCCCCCCCCCCCAGGACGGGCGTGGGTATAGCTGCCGATACGTCAACAGCTGCCACCTTTGTGTGAGGTTGCCCAACCGTTAAGAAGCCTCCTCCTCTGTGATACAATTTTACAAATTCACCAGCAGTAAAGACACGAATAAGAGTGATGTTATTACTTTAGACAATAACCAGGAGCTATTAGAGAAGAAGCGAGTTCGATTTCTTGGACCCGTGATGAGAAAACAACGATTGTGTGCTACTGTCAGGGGAACCCGATGCGGAGTCGTTGAGTCCACATCACGGACAGAGCTCAGTGGAAGGGAGGCCATGATGGCCGCCGTCTACGAGAGAGGAGGTGGCACAGAGGGAGAGAGAAGTCTTGCTCAAGGGAGCATTGGTGCTCATCTCCTGTTTACAGGCCGACAGAGCCAGGAGTGGAAATTCCTCATTCCACGTCTCTATGGGAGGGGGTGGGGAAGGGGGCGAGTCTACCTAGAGCACAACCCCCCTGTGGACTTCCTCCACAGCAACAAAACTATTTTGTCGTTCCTGAATGGAAGGGATGATGGGCTGGGTCAACCTTCAACCAGGATTTGAACTTCCGACTGCAAGCCGCTCGCTCTACGGCTGAGCTAAGGATGTTCCCATGATGGACGTTGCACGTGGTGGACACTGCCCATGGTGAACGCTGGTAGCACGTCACCCCAGGTGGTACCAGCGCCGCCGGTTCACGATCTCAGATCTCAGAGAGAACTCGCAGGGCCTACAATGACCTCAGCTCCAAGGACTCCACCCACCTCTCCCCAGTGCCGAGTCAGCACTTCTCATTAATACTTGAGGGGGCAGCAGTGGGAGCTGGAACCCGAGATCCAGATTCTGGGGGGCGTGGGGGGCAGCTCGGGTGTCTCTTTCCATTGGCGGAGCGACTCGCGGAGATTCCTGCAGCGCGCCTGGGCGAGGGGGCGAGGGGGTGAGCGGTGGCGCAGTGGTTAGCACGCTGCGCTACAAGCCCGGCAACCCAAGTTCAATTCCGGCTCGCGGCCAAAAGCAGGGAGCGCATATTTGAACCAGTCCCGGGCCTCCCCGCGAGGTCGAGTATCTGGTGCGATGCGTAAACATCGCCACTAGGGAGACAAAGGCGGCTGGGCGTGTTGCTGGCTACCCAACTCCTTGGTGTGCTGTGCCGGTCTTAATAGATGCTCGCGAAAAGCACCCGCCTGATCATAGCCTGTTAAGGCTTTAAGGGTGGGAGGTCTCTTTGTATGGATGTGTGAGTGGGTGCGTGCGTGTGTGCGTGAGAGTGTGCGTGAGTGGGTGTGTGAGTGTGCGTGTGTGCGAGAGTGCGTGAGTGTGTGCGTGAGTATATGATTTAGTATGGGGCCACCCCGTCAAGTGGCATTCCGGTCTTCATTGGTGCTCGTTAACAGCACTTGAGTGTAGGCTAAACAAAGCTTAAACCCACTCCTGTAGGAGTTGTCCAAGCATCTAAATGTAGGACCCTCTTGAATACTCGTATTGAGACTCAGTTGAGGCTTTCCTGTACCCATTATCCTTAGGATTAACCGCGTCCAGTTCAATTACCAGTTGCTCCTCACTCATCGTGGGTCAGCGGCTCAGTGCCCACATGAACACAAAACACATCGACAAGTAATCCGATTACTTTCGGCAAGATTGAAAGTAAAGGCGCAGCCCTGAAATTTCCCGTTTGCTGGCAGAAGGACCTCGAGCGAACTCTATATAGAGTTGGTCTTTGGTCGACTCTTCCACGTCGGTGCGGTGTGCTGCAAGAGCTGGGCGTACCCTCACTTTATCACGCCACACGTGACCTGCCGCTCGACCGACTGGGATGCAGCCCGTTCACACCGCTGGGTGGACAGGGGGCGTTTGAGAAACCTGGCCCACTCTGTACCAGAACCGGGCGACCTCGGCACGGCGAGTCCAGCGCACCGCTGACCATCACGGTGGGGGCAGCCCTTCGACGCAGGTCGCAGTGAATCCGGCTGGACCATCATTTGCACGCGTTTTGCATCACGTGTCTCTGTGTTGTTATCTCTGCGATCTTTACCCCTCTGTGCACAGAGGGGGGTGGTGGTGGGTTGGGTGATCATCGGCGTGAGCCGGATGCGACGGCGATGACCTGAGACTTGTCTCCAGTCCACAAAAACTCCACGGGGCGATTCGGCGAGCGAGCGGAGTTTTGTTTGCGCCGCGCTCGGCCCCCCCCCCCCCCCCGGCACACGCGGACGCAGCGCGGCGGTCGCAAGCGCCACTTGAGGAGGCAGCGGCGGCGGCGGCGTTCCGCCCGAGCGCATTTGTCTCTGGGCGTCATGGGGAAACTTGCCCCGGGTGATCTCTACCCCCCTCCTCTACTCCACCGCCTGCAACGCCTCACACGGCAGCGGCGGCGGCGTTCCACCTCGTCTCACGCCACCCTCCATTAGCCTCATTACTCACAAAGCCACCAACGCCTCGACATTATTCAATGTTGTCTGGTCTCGCCAACCGCTAAGTCCACATTATTACACGAACATTACCTGCCAATCACTGCCAATCATCAGCGGCAATCAACCGCAATTATTAAACCGGATCTTGTGCACAATTGTGCCGGCATGGCACGGACTCAAGGACACGGATGAGGAAGCCCGTCCACGCCAGGAGAAGTGAGTTGCTGTGCACGCCTGGTGATGATGATGATGATGGTGCGCCTGATCTCCTGTCAGACGTCCAGACGTCCATACGTCGTATGAGTTTCTGTATGTGTCTATGAGTCTCTGTGTGAGTCTATGGGTCTCTGTGAGTCTCTGGGTCTCTGTGTGAGTATATGGGTCTCTGTGTGAGTCTATGGGTCTCTGTGTGAGTCTATGGGTCTGTGTGAGTCTATGGGTCTCTGTGAGTCTCTGGGTCTCTGTGTGAGTCTATGGGTCTCTGTGTGAGTCTCTGGGTCTCTGTGTGAGTCTATGGGTCTCTGTGTGAGTCTCTGGGTCTCTGTGTGAGTCTCTAGGTCTCTGTGTGAGTCTATGGGTCTCTGTGTGAGTCTCTGGGTCTCTGTCTGAGTCTATGGGTCTCGATGCGAGTACGCAGGAAGCCACTGACAGCACAACCCAGAATCTCATTGAATCCGCCTGCACGCATCATCACCCCAGACTGGAAAAACCCGAACCGTACTCTGCACGGCTCCACCCTGCGATTTTTGGCTAAGTGGTCCTAGTGCGAGGCCGCTCGGCTGACGTACCTTGCTCGGCCCAGACGCAGCCCTCTGGCAGCCGCACGCTGGTGATGAACCTCACGTGGCCCGTGTGGCCATGCAGGCAACCCACGGGGGCCACGGCGGGCCAGCGCTGCGTCGGCGACGGGGCCCCCGCCCCCAGCCCAGGGCTCCCCGCTGAGTCGTGCTGCCCCCACTCGGGGTCCGGCTGCTGGGCGTCGGCCCCCCATTCGGCGCTCTGGGGGGGCCCCCCCGCGGCGGCGCCGCCGGGGTGGCGGTGGTGGGGCGGGGGGCTGCGGTCGTGCCGCCGGGGGCCGGGGTGAGTGAGGTGGTGGTGCGGCAGGGTGACGAGGACACCCGCGCTGGTGCCCACCCACAGCAGCTCGGCGCCCAGGGTGAGCGAGGTGACGCGCAGGCACGCAGACTTGTGCTGCCGGATGATGGCGTCGCAGCCTGCGGGCGGGACGGCATTGTCGTCATCTTTGTCAGAACCATCGTCGTTGTCATCGTCGTTGGTCATGTACGCATGTTCAGTTCCCCCGTGTAGCCTTCACAGACTGCTGGGGCAAGTGCTGCTAGCGAGCACCTACGAAGACTGGAAAGTCAATCGCACGAGGGGGCAGTGTGGTGAGCACCACGCCCGACCACCTTTGTTTCCCTCGTTCTGAGGTTGGATACACACCGCACCAGGTACCCATTTAAGGCTGAGTCGACGTGTATGTATGTTGAACTCTGTTCACACCGCACGTAGACAACCGTGCTAATCAAAGGTTATCGTCATAATCGTCCCGTACTAACCGATAAACTGACGCGTCGTCACTTTCCTAACGCGTCCCCCTTCCCCCCACCGTCTCTTCACGGGGGTCCCCAAGGGCCCCCCTCCGAAGGGCCCCCACCCACCCCCACACTCACCGGCCAGCATCCTGGAGACGGCCGCGGTGACGTCCACCTCGGCGAGACACTCGTAGGTGGCGGGGTGGTAGAGTCGGACCTGGGTGCTGGCGGTGAGAGCCACCCACACCCCGGAGCCCTCGCTGGCCATGCACGCCACGCCGCGGCCCCCCTCCCCGTCCACCACGAAGCTCGCCTGGGGGGGAGGGGGGGGGTCGCACCGGGGAAGCAGACGCAGGGGTCGTGTTGGTGGCACGGGAGTCATAGCCAAGGGGCACAAGGGGCCATGCCAGAACGTGGGGAGGGAAGTCGTCGATTCACTGGCTGTTTGACTCAATCATCCATTTTAATAACTGGCTGATTGATTGACCGGCTGCTTGGCGGACAGTTCTGTCCGTTGCATCACTGTGTGACCTCGGTGCCTCTACGAGCGGTCAATCGGTGCGAGCGGTCGGCCGACTGATCACTGGAGTTAGAGGAATGGGCGGCCACCTAGCGGGCGCAGTGTCCGGCAGAGGTGGGGGGTTACCTCGACGAGCAGGGAGTCGGGGTGCAGCACCACGATGTTGTTCTGGCAGCCGCACCACAGGCGGCCACACACGGCCAGCATGCGGCACACGGGGGCGGCCGCCGTGGACAGGGGCAGCACGCGCGCCTCCCCCACGGCCCAGAAGCAACCTGGGGGGGCACGGGGAGGGGCGGGGGGCACGGGGGGGGGCACGGGGGGCACAGGAGGGGACAGGCGGGACGAGGTGTCAGCAACAGCGACAATAATTGCAATCACCAAAGCGCTTCGTAAACAACAATAACATAAACAACTCTGTGGCAATAACAGCAGCTACAAACAGTTGTAATAAACTAAGCGCTGTGCAAACAACAACAACTCTGATATATTTTCTAGATTTACTCCAACGCTGTCCTCTGGACAGTATGGTCCCTTCACCTGATGAAGGCCACTTGTGTTGTGGCCGAAACGTCGTGATTGTTGTTGTTTTATTTTTTACCTACGTGACTTTACCGAATATAACCAAAGAGTGTAACTCTGATATCGGCAATAACAACAACAATGCCAACGTTAATCACAGAAACATCCACCAACAACCGCAGCCACAACAACAAAATCAGAGCGACCACAGAAACGACCACGAGAGCAACTCGAGGCAACAACAAAAATAAAAACCACCACCACAAAACAAAGACAAAGATCCCCCGTATAGCCTGTAACAGGCTGTTGGGGCAAGTGCTGTTTGCGAGCATCTATGAAGGCCGGCACGACACACGAGGTGGTGGTTGGCCAGCACCACGCCCGGCCACCTTTGTCTCCCAAGTGGCGATGTTTACACATCGCACCAGGTACTCATTTGAGTCTGAGTCAAATTAGAGAGGCCCAGGACCGGTTCAGATAATCGTCACTGGTGTGGTCCGTGAGCGGGAATTGAACTCGGGTCGTTGGGTTTGCAGTGCAGCGTGCTAACCGCTGCACCACCGCTCCCCACCATCACCGCCAACACCACCACTCACCAACAACACCACCACTCACCACCAACAACACCACCACTCACCACCAACACCACCACACAAGGCCACGATGACAACTGCAGGGCCCTATCAACGCTCTACTCAGAGCAGCCCCGCGGTGGTGGTGCTGGTAGTGGTGGCGCTACAGCCGAGGACCCGGGCGGTCCAGTTCTCAGCAGACCCCACCACGCCCCGCCACACCACACACAGCCACACCATGCCCCGCCACACTGCATGCCGCCACATCGCATCCCGCCGCACCGCACTCAGCCGCACCACAGTCAGCCGCACCACATCCAGCCGCACCACACTCTGCCACACCACACCCAGCCCCACCACACTCAGCCGCACCACACTCAGCCCCACCACACCCAGCCGCACCACACTCTGCCACACCACACCCCATCACACCACACCCAGCCCCACCACACTCGGCCGCACCACATTTAGCCCCACCACACCCCTCCACATCCCACCACACCACAGCCAGCCACACCACACTCTCCCACACCACACTGAACCACACCACACCCCGCCACATCAGGCCACACTACACCAGGCCACACCACACAAGGCCACACCACACCCAGCCCCACCACACCCCTCCACATTCCACCACACCACAGACAGCCGCACCACATTCTGCCACACCACAGGCAGCCGCACCACACTCTACCACACCACACACCAGCACACCACACTCCGTCACAGCACACAGGCCACACCACACCGGGCCACACCACACTCCGCCACACCACATCAGACCACACCACACCACACTCAGCCCCACCACACCCCGCCACACCACACTCCGCCACACCACACCCCGCCACGGCACACCCTGCCACGTGACCGGGTCACCGTCACATGTGCATGCCGTCGCCGTGAGTTTTCATTGCGCCAGACGACGTCTCCGCGTTGGGTCGCGAGAGACGCCGCTGGACTTTCTCGTTCAGGGGATCGCTCGTATGCAAATTCGTCTCCTCGGGTATGCAAAGTTGAGATGGCAGTGACGTGATGTTCATAGTACGAGACACTTTACGCGGTTAAGCAATGGAATTAAGAATGAGTCACGATGATTGTTTGCCTGCCTTTTTGTCATTTCGCTGCTGGATTAAGGCCTCCCCACGCTGTGTCAATCGTGGGTGTTGTTTGACCATACTTCACCACGCTGGTCAGTTTATACTTGGTGGTAGTCAAGGGGGGAGGGGGGGGTGGTAGGCAGGGCCACTTTCAGATTTTCACTCTGAGCCACTAATTTTAGCCGTGGCCGGGAATCGAACGCAGGTCCACCGGGGTTCATAGCGCAGTGTGTTTCAAAACACCGCCCGTAGCTCACGATGAGACCCCAGGGCTTTCGGCTATCGGCCCTACCCGGAGGACGCGCCTCGACAGGCAGGGCCGGCAGGGCGAGTAGGGGGTGGGGGTCTATCAGCGCTGGTTTCAATGTGGGTTGAATCTCAACGTGCCACACATTTCACTTGGGTGAGTCGCTATTGGCAACACGACCTGATGCAGTACGCATCGTTCAATATATCGGATCATCTTTACAATAATTATCCTACACCCCCCCCCCCCCGTTACAGACGAACACAGCCAATACGTGAAGTTTAAAACTTGAGCTGGAAAGCGTTGACGAGCAGCAGCAGTAGCAGGGGATCCACCTACCGTCGTCGCGGTGGTAAACCACAAGGTCCCCGTTGGCCAGAGACACAAACACCTTGTTCTCCAGGAAACTACACAGACGTCAACACAACACACACACACGCGCACACACACACGCGCGCGGCTTAGTCCATGAAGACAAACAGCCCCCGTGTAGCCCTGAACAGATTGTCGTGGGAAAGTGCTGTTAGCGAGTAGCACCTGTGGAGGCCGGCACGGCACACGAGGGGGTGGGTGGCCAACACCACGCCCTGCCGCCTTTGTCTCCCCAGTGCTGCTGCTTTACACAATGCAGTAGGTACTCATTTAAAGTGAGGGAGAAAAGTATTTGATCCCCTGCTGATTTTGTACGTTTGCCCACTGACAAAGAAATGATCAGTCTGTAATTTTAATGGTAGGTTTATTTGAACAGTGAGAGACAGAATAACAACAAAATTCCAGAAAAACGCATGTCAAAAATGTTATGAATTGATTTGCATTTTAATGAGGGAAATAAGTATTTGACCCCTCTGCAAAACATGACTTAGTACTTGGTGGCAAAACCCTTGTTGGCAATCACAGAGGTCAGACGTTTCTTGTAGTTGGCCATCAGGTTTGCACACATCTCAGGAGGGATTTTGTCCCACTCCTCTTTGCAGATCTTCTCCAAATCATTAAGGTTTCGAGGCTGACGTTTGGCAACTCAAACCTTCAGCTCCCTCTACATATTTTCTATGGGATTAAGGTCTGGAGACTGGCTAGGCCACTCCAGGACCTTAATGTGCTTCTTCTTGAGCCACTCTTTTGTTGCCTTGGCCGTGTGTTTTGGGTCATTGTCATGCTGGAATACCCATCCACGACCTATTTTCAATGCCCTGGCTGAGGGAAGGAGGTTCTCACCCAAGATTTGACGGTATATAGCCCCGTCCATCGTCCCTTTGATGCGGTGAAGTTGTCCTGTCCCCTTAGCAGAAAAACACCCCCAAAGCATAATGTTTCCACCTCCATGTTTGACGGTGGGGATGGTGTTCTTGGGGTCATAGGCAGCATTCCTCCTCCAAACACGGCGAGTTGAGTTGATGCCAAAGAGCTCCATTTTGGTCTCATCTGACCACAACACTTTCACCCAGTTGTCCTCTGAATCATTCAGATGTTCATTGGCAAACTTCAGACGGGCATGTATATGTGCTTTCTTGAGCAGGGGGACCTTGCGGGCGCTGCAGGATTTCAGTCCTTCATGGCGTAGTGTGTTACCAATTGTTTTCTTGGTGACTATGGTCCCAGCTGCCTTCAGATCATTGACAAGATCCTCCCGTGTAGTTCTGGGCTGATTCCTCACCGTTCTCATGATCATTGCAACTCCACGAGGTGAGATCTTGCATGGAGCCCCAGGCCGAGGGAGATTGACAGTTCTTTTGTGTTTCTTCCATTTGAAAATAATCGCACCAACTGCCGTCACCTTCTCACCAAGCTGCTTGGCAATGGTCTTGTAGCCCATTCCAGCCTTGTGTAGGTCTACAATCTTGTCCCTGACATCCTTTGGTCTTGGGCATGGTGGAGAGTTTTGAATCTGATTGATTGATTGCTTCTGTGGACAGGTGTCTTTTATACAGGTAAAAGACACCTGTTAAAGGGAGTGCTCCTGAGACTAGGAGCACTCCCTTTAAGAGTGTGCTCCTAATCTCAGCTCGTAACCTGTATAAAAGACACCTGGGAGCCAGAAATCTTTCTGATTGAGAGGGGGTCAAATACTTATTTCCCTCATTAAAATGCAAATCAATTGATAACATTTTTGACATGCGTTTTTCTGGATTTAGTTGTTGTTATTCTGTCTCTCACTGTTCAAATAAACCTACCATTAAAATTATAGACTGATCATTTCTTTGTCAGTGGGCAAACGTACAAAATCAGCAGGGGATCAAATACTTTCTTCCCTCACTGTAAGTATTGAGGCCAGTTCAAATATCCGCGCCACCGGTGTTGGTCGTGAGCAGGAATCGAACTCGGGTCGCCTGGTTCGTTGCGCAATGTGCTGACCGTTGTGCCACCGCTCCCCCCTCCCACTCACACGATGCAGGTGACCGCGGCCGAGTGTTGCAGCTTGAGGCTCTTCTTGCGGTGGCGGATCGTGTCGGACGACTGGTAGATGTGGATGCTGTGGGCAGCACGCACAAAGCATTTAGTGACTAATTGATTGCTCTCAGCAGCTAGCAGCCCGGTATCATGAACGGGGTGTGTACTGAGTTAGTACTCACCTGACCGAAAGTGCCCCTCTCCGCGGGAGATGCAGCCTCGTTTGTGGCTATGCCCTCCACCACCTGGGGTGACCTTTGACCTCTTAAAATTTACCTATTAACAATGACCTCTTCACATTGACCTCTTAATATTGACCCAGCGAACGAAGGTCACGGGAGTCAACCCCACGCTTGACTCAAATCGCTAACACGCGATCTGGTGGTGGTGGTGGTGGTGATGCTGCCACTGCGTTGGCAGTGGTGGTGCACAACAACCAACAACAATAATCGAACTCGTTCGTCAATAGGGCTTCTCCACACCACGTAGGCCATCCTGGTCGGGTGAAGATATTCACGGACCCGGGTGAGAGTTGTGGCAGTGCCCTCCATGACCTGGCCACTCTTGATCTCGCCAAATTAAATGTAATATAATTGTATGATTATTAATTCGACACATCTGTTCCCAACTTAAAACATTTAAGTAAAACAGGTAAACAGTTTAGAACTGTCTAAAACTATGTGAGATTATCAGGGGCAAAAACCTTAGTGATGCTCTACATGACTTAGGTCGAGAGTCATAGGTCGCACATATGTCATGATCAGCACTGTATGCGTACTCTGGTGGCCTTGTCGCTTTGATATTGCAGTATCACTCGCGTCTCATAACGATCCACTTAAACGCAACTTTAAAGTCTTTTAACGTCTATCAAAGCCACAATCTATTGTATCGGGGCTCCCAGGACCCAGCCCAGGAGGTGTTTGGCTAGATAAGCGCTGTGTGTGTTTGGGGCCTTGTCAATTGCCCTATAAAGAGCTGCTACTGGGAGCCATCGGTTCAGAATATTCCTTCGTCGATGAACGTGATGATTCTTAACAGTTAGTTTGTTCGTGTATTTGATGATGGCAATATGAATCGTGACGCAGTTGTCTTTGTGTCTCAGGACATCCCGGGTTTCCCTGCCAATTCCTCGGTGATTTTTGCGCCCCTTGCCCTGCTGCCACCTGCTGGCCACTGCAAAGCCCGAGCCACACACGGGATGATCTCGACGTGATCCACCAACCCAATCTCAACAAGCTCCAGATTACAGGGGTGCTGCCACCACCACCACCAGCTGATGATGATAATAATAATATGGATGGTCGCGATGGTTGATCGTCATAATAATGATGATCATAATGACGTGGATAGCGGTTCTTTGATAATGATATGAAGGTAATATTAATGGTTGTGATTGTGTTGATAATTATGATGATGATGGTGGTGGTGAAGAAATGATGATGGTGTACTGGAAGTTGCACTGATAATGGGGATAATGGTGATGTCAATAATGATTACAATAAATACCATGCTGAATGTATTATTGTAATGATGATGACAATGAGATTTCTGGTGGCAATAATGAAGATAACAACGATGAAGACGACGACGACGACAATGCTGATGATGCCGATGATGGGCGAACTCCACGCCACCCACCAGCCGTCCTCCGTGCCCAGCCACACGGAGCCCTGGAACGGTTCGGGCTTCGGGCACGATGCCTCGTCAGGGCCGGGCCGCGTGAAGCCCCCCAGCGGGGGGCTCCTGGCGCTGCCCGGCGGGTCGGCCGTGAAGGGGTTGGGGGGCGGCGTGGGGGGGAAGGGGTTGCCTGCCCCCCCCTCCTCCTCCTCCTCCTCCTCTTCCTCCTCCTCGTCGTCGTCCGAGCTGCTGCTCTCCTCGGGGGTCACGTGCCCCCCCCCACTCAGCTCCTCTACTGCACGTGCGGCATGTGTGGCGGGGCACGGGGTACATGTAGGGACACACACATAGATATGAGGACAAAGATCCCCCATATAACCTCAACGGATTGCTGGGGCGAGTGCTGTTAGCGAGCACCTATTAAGGCCGAGACGGCACACGAGGGGATGGTGTGGCCAGCACCACTCCCGGTTGCTGAGGTCTACGCACCACAGCAGGTACTGATTTGAGAGCGAGTCGCCCTGGGGGAGGCCCAGGACTGACTCACAGGCGCGCCACCCACGCACGCACCCACGCACGAACCCACGCACCCACGCACCCACGCACGCACCCACGCACGCACCCACGCACACACGCCACGCACCCCTCAGTGCCGCCAGCGACGGCTCGATGTGCGGACCCCAGGACCCGGCCTCGTCCTCCTCCAGCTCCTCCTCCGCCTCCTCTTCTTCATCCTCGTCCTCCTCTTCCTCCTCCTCCTCCTCTTCCTCCTCTTCTCCCGAGTCCTCGCTCTCGAAGGGGTTGCAGGCGCCGCCGCCGCTGGCGCGGCCGCGGCCGGCGTGTCGTCGGTGGCGCGCCGTGCCGGCGCCCGTCGCGTGGCGGTCGCGCCGCACTGCGATGGGCAACGGCTGGGCCGGCGCTGCGTCGCCGATGCAGATGTGGAGAGCGGAGCTGCTCTCGTCGGCCTGCTCCTCGGCGTGCTCCTCGGCGTGCTCCTCGGCGTGCTCCTCGGCGTGCTCCTCGGCGTGCTCCTCGGCGTGCTCCTCGCGGTGCCGGTGGCGGCGAGAGACGAGGTCCTCCTCGGAGGCGATTGTCGGCAGACGGCGCAGCGGGGAGTCGGGGAGCGGCGCTCCCTCCCGTGACCCCCCACTATCAACGCTGCTTGGGGGGGGGTGGGGGGCGGAGCGGGGGGCGGGGTAGAGAGGTAGGAGCAAGGAGGAAGCACAAGGGAGTGAGCGTACATCGTCATGGGTAAAATCAGAATAATAATAATAATTATCGTCATGGGTCAAATCAGAATAATAATTATTATCGTGCTCCCAGTTGCCATGTGACAAGAGCACTATTCACATGTTCACCATCATCATCCTGACTATCAAAACCACCATCATCAATCTCACAAGTGCAATCATCATCAAATACCCCATCATCACCACTGCCACCATCTTCACCTCTCCACCATTCGTGTGTATGGTGGAGAGGTGCCACGGGCGGGATGGGGGGGGGTAAATGGGTGAGGAGCGATTGGGGAGGTCTCTGAGTGTGGTGGCAGGGGGCGGTGAAGGGGGGTGAGGAGGAAGGGGTGGACGTGGGAAAGGTGAGAAGGGGGGGAAGGAGAGAAGATGTGGGGGGAGGGGTGTTTGGGGGGGGTACCCGGTGGGGGGCTGCTGCAGTGCGGGCACGGGCGCGATGCAGAGGATGCGTGCGGAGCACACGGCGATGCAGGCCTCGACGATGGGCTCCGGGGTGAGGCTCAGCAGGCACACCTGGCCCACGTAGCCGTCGCTGTTGCACACCCACACCTCGCAGCCGCCCAGCGGCACGCACACGCTCGGGGAGGCGCACGAGAACTGTGCACGCCGGGCAGCACGCCACACCGGACGGCAGACCGCACCGGGCACCGGGCAGCACACCACACACCACGCACCACGCACCACACACCACGCACCACACACCACGCACCACACACCACACACCACACACCACGCACCACGCACCACGCACCACGCACCACACACCACGCACCACGCACCACGCACCACGCACCACACACCACACACCACGCACCACGCACCACGCACCACGCACCACGCACCACACACCACGCACCACACACCACGCACCACGCACCACACACCACACACCACGACGCAGTACAAACCGCTGAGCATGCGCGTCACACGGCACGCACCGGTACACCGCCCCCTTAACCACACCACACCCCACGGGGCCCGGAGGGGCAACTCGCGTTAGGTGAGCACCCCCCCCACCCCAAACGTAATCCCGTGAGACCCTCCCCCCACCTCGCCCCCTCCCTACACTGCTCGTGGGACACCGAACCCCGTTGAAAGGGGACCCCAAGCGACCACTCCTGCAATTGTACGGTTCCTGTTCCCATCACGCACAAACCCGCGGAGAATCACTGCACGAGGGTGAGGGAGGAGGGGGGTGGGAGGAGGGGGTGGGATGGGGGGGAGGGGGGCCGGCACCTGCATGCCGCTGCGTGTCTTCATGATGGAGATGGCCTTCAGGAACTCGGGTTCTCTCCGGGGCTGAGTCTCCGCTGGCACGAACACACACGCACACACACACACGAACATCATCGTGAATACAATCATCACAGTACCATCACCGTAAAACTATTACCACCATCATCAATATCAATATATAATCATCGTGATATCATCATCACCATCAAACTACCATCACTGCCATCATGAATAGTGTCAACATACCATCATTTTCAGAATTTTAGCAATATTCCACCGCCATCATTACAATGGCACCAGTAAATATAACCATCAAGATAAATCCATCGCTACACCACCATCATCCATCAACACAACACGCTCGTCAATCACACTGTGCATGAGTGACCTCAAAAGATGAAAACATAGAATAGGCAACGTTTCGGGCAATGGCCCTTCGTCATGGCATATAAATCACACCGTGAACACGGCACCGTCAAATCATTCCGGCAGCAATAAAAACTTTGCGGCCGGGTCAATAGCAATGAAGGAATAATTATTAAATTTCACGCAGCGACGGCGAACGTAAAGGAGCCCCCACCGATGCGGGAGCAGGCCCCCTCCAGCGTCTGCTGGAACGCGGCACGACCCTCGGGGCTCCCAAACTCGAACACCAGCGAGCGGCGGGGGGCAGTCCCCCCCGCCGCCCCGGCCCCCCCAGCCCCCCCCGCCCCTCCCGCCCCTCCCGCTGCCGACTGGGGGGCTCCAGGGGCCAAGAGGAGCAGCTCCAGCCGGGCCGGGGGGGGCGCGGGGGGCCCCGCGGTGGCGGCGGCGTGCCGCTCGGAGAGGTCGCGCTGCACGGACAGCAGCAGGTCCCGCAGGGCGTCGTCCAGGGCCTGCGGGGTGGGGGGCACGGGGGGATGGGAGGGGGGCACGGGTGGGCGGGGGGGCATGAAGGAAAATATTAGCTCACCTGGTGAGGAACGTGAGCTCACCTGGTGAGGCACGGTGAGCTCACCTGGTGAGGAACGTGAGCTCACCTGCTGATGCACGGTAGCTCACCTGGCGAGGCACGGTAGCTCACCTGGTGAGGCACGGTAGCTCACCTGGCGAGGCACGGTGAGCTCACCTGGTGAGGCACGGTGAGCTCACCTGGCGAGGCACGGTGAGTTCACCTGGTGAGGCACGGTGAGCTCACCTGGTGAGGCACGGTGAGCTCACCTGGCGAGGTACGGTAGCTCACCTGGTGAGGCACGGTAGCTCACCTGGTGAGGCACGGTGAGCTCACCTGGCGAGGTACGGTGAGTTCACCTGCTGATGCACGGTGAGCTCACCTGGTGAGGCACGGTAGCTCACCTGCTGATGCACGGTAGCTCACCTGGTGAGGCACAGTAGCTCACCTGCTGATGCACGGTAGCTCACCTGGTGAGGCACGTGAGCTCACCTGGTGAGGCACGGTAGCTCACCTGGCGAGGTACGGTAGCTCACCTGGTGAGGCACGGTAGCTCACCTGGTGAGGCACGGTGAGCTCACCTGGCGAGGTACGGTAGCTCACCTGGTGAGGCACGGTGAGCTCACCTGGCGAGGTACGGTGAGTTCACCTGCTGATGCACGGTGAGCTCACCTGGTGAGGCATGGTAGCTCACCTGCTGATGTACGGTAGCTCACCTGGTGAGGCACGGTAGCTCACCTGGTGAGGCACGGTAGCTCACCTGGTGAGGCACGGTGAGCGAATCGACGAGGCCGCGGATGTCTGCGAGCCGCGCCGTGTCCTCCTCCAGCCCCGTGACGCTCCTCTGCAGCGCCTCCCTCGCCGCCGGCACCAGCAGCTCGCACGAGCCTGGGGTCATCACGGGGTTGCCACGGGGTTACCACGGGGTCACGGTCAAGGGGTTACGGTCGTGAATCAGGAGACGGTTTGTGGAGCCGTGGTGGTGGTGTTGATGGTGGTATTGCTGATGGTAGTTATGATAGTAGTGGTGATTGCGATGGTGGTGGTAGTGATGGTAGTAGTGATGGGTACAGCTGTCCTAGTGGTGGTTGATGAGATGATGACTTCTGGTGTGGCAAGAGGTGGATGTGACATATTAGTGGTGCGTGGTGGATTTAATTTGACGGTGGTGGTGATGGTTATGATGGTGGTGACTGTGATGAACAGTGTAGCTGCCCTGGTGGTGGTGGTGTTGTCGTACGGTGCGGAGAGAGGCAGTTAGTGTGGTGGTAGAGTCAGGAGTGGTGGAATGTGGATGAGATTTAGTGGTGATGTTGGAAGACTTGTCCGTGGTGGTGGTGGTGGTGATTCCATCTCACCTTTCACCACCTCCAGTTCGTAGAGTGGAGAGCGCCACAGCAGCTTGTACTTACTGCTCAGGTCAATGTAGCTGCCAGCAGTTGTCCTGCACACACACAGGCAAATATCTCCCATGTAGCCTCCACAGTCTATTGGGGCAAGTGCTGCTCGTGAACACCCTAAGAAAGTCGGCATCGCGCAAAGGGCTGGGTGTGGCCGGATTCACGCCCGGCCGCCTCTGCCTCCCCAGCGCTTGAAGTCAACACCGCACCACGTACTCGTTTAAGGCGACACGGGAGAGGCCGGAGGAGCAATTCTCTATTGCGCGAGGTGGTGCACTGCTCGCTGGGAGCGCTCTCCCCCCGTGCAGGCACTCACAGGCTGAAGGAGCTGCGACGTAGCGAGCCCGACTTGCGCTTGAGTGTCGTGCAGAGGAGGAGGTCGGAGAAGAGAAAGAGGCATCGCTCCTTCTTGCCCCCCACGGCCTTCTGCTCGTCACAGAGTTAAAGAGAAAGATCCCCCGTGTAGCCTTTCACAGCCTGTTGGGACGAGTGCTGTTAGCGAGTGCCTATGATGCCCGTCACGACGCACAAGTGAGTAGTGTGGCCGGTGTTTCCCAAGTGCTGAAGTTTACCCATCGCACCGGGTACTTATTTGAGGCCGAGTCGACCTACAGAAAGCCCAGGACTGGTTCAGATAATAGCCACTGGTGTTGCTCGTGAGCGGGAATCGAACTCGGGTGGCCAGGTTCGTAGCGCTGCGCATTAACCGCTACAATTACCGCTCCTCATGGGCGTTCGTCCAGGATTTAAACCCGGGGTCTCTCGCACACAGGCGCACACAGACAATCGCACAGACATACAGACGAACAGCCGTGCTGGGCCACTTGTTGTAGAGTATTTCATGACCATGCGACACGTTTGCGAGCCCCGATTGGCCATTACGATCCTGTTATGCGCAAATACTCGTTCAGACATGGA